TTTAGGTATTTGTATGAGGAACTGAGCATACGTAGGGCTTTTTTTTTGTTTTGCGTTTCTTAAATGTGCCAACAAAATTGTAGCACTTACATCTGATTTAACCAGAAACACATGCGGTCAGTTGGTTGACAGACTCATTTTGACATGCGTTGAATGTTTCATTCAGTAATTTTCCATACCTGCGATATCGGTGAGGATTAACTGGAGGGGGGGGGGCGATCCCAGCTGTCTGGATAAGAGGCAGGGTTCACCCCAGACGGGTTTCCAGATGGCATAACCTTCCAGGAAACATTCCATCGTAAAATCTATAAGTGTCTGTCGGGTCACACTTTTTATTTAATGTTTTATATTTATTTTATCGCTCTTAGACTTTGTGATGATGGTAATTTCCATTACCCAAACTGATCAAACCCTTAGATTTAAGCGTCAATTGAATTTTGTGGATAATTAACAGAATCATTCAGGGTGCCCTTGGCTCTCAGACACACATTAAAACTATACATAGATAATAGGAGCAGCCATGGGTTGATATTTGGCCCCTCACAATCTAAAGGATTTTGTCTTTGATGTGAAAGGCTTTGGGCAGTCACGTTAATCCTTAGATAGCCCGTGGTTTATTATATAATTGTGTTGGACAATAATAGTTGATTTTTTACTGTGTAAGACTTTCCAACACAGACACAGTCGTTACGTAAGCCGAGGAAGACGTAGTAAGTTGCACGGGCACACAGAGGGCTCATCACTGACTTTTACAACCTGTTTCCACTCTGTTTCTACCACTAAAAGTGACAGTTTCTCCTCTTTGTTTCTTTGTTTGTTTATTTGTTTGTTTGTTTCTTTCTCTTTTTGTCCTCTATGTAAACAAAAGCTCATTGCTGTTGTTTAGCCTGAGAAATGGACAGTTTCTCAGACTCAGACAATCGGATGCAATTATGAGTGCTATATTTAGGCTCCCTGGGAGAGATCGCCATCACGAACTTGGGCAGATATTATTGACATAGTCTAAGCGTATTAAAATACTAATTCAGCAGACTTTTCAAACTGGGCAGGCTGCTCGCAGTGCTCCAGCCGTCGGACTGTGAGCAGGAAGCGGCCTGATCCTGCAGGCCGTCTCTGCCAGCTGATTGCTTGTTTGTGGGTGTACGCACGGGCCTTTGTGTGTGTGTTTTGTCCTCAGTCGGCTGCTACAGAACAGAAATGGGGCAGACAGAATTAGAACTGCCACTTACGCAGAGATGCACAGGAGGCTTCTTTCAAGTCTTCAGATAGGCTCGGGGAAAGCAGCGAGAATGCAATGCAGGGATTAGCAAGTGTGAAGTCCTTATGTCAAAAAGAAGTGTGTGTGTGAGTGTCAGATAAGAAGCCGCAGATTTGAGCGAGCAGACGTGTCTTGCTTAGGTGTGTGTGTGTGTGTGTGTGTGCTTGGGGAGGGGATGGATGTCAAATAGTGGTACTTGGATGGAACTGGAAGGATATTTTTGAGTCTGACAAAATTCAAGTCTCATGATGTTTTGAAGCTCAGAGGAAAAGAGAGGCTGTTGAGAGAGAGAGGGAGAGAGAGAAGACAGGCACTTTCAACAAGGGGACTTATGTGCCACGGCTCAAATTAATTCTTTAAATACTCGCATACTGACATCAATTTTGCTTTATTGTGCTCTTCTTTTGAGATATGCGTCCACTGTGCTGTTTCTCCAAGCTTCGGCTGTACTAATTCCCTCTTATGTAGTAGAGAGAAGAAGGAAACATTAATAATGGAGTAGGGAGCCCCCTTAGATCCTCTCTGTCGTCTATAACCATGCCAACAAATATGCGCAGTGGTGGTAAAGCTTTCGAAGTTTACAGCAATCAAATGCTTGACTTTCATCATCTAAAAGCTAATATACATATATGCAATATGAAGCTGCTTTTGGTCTTCAAAACTAAAGACTCCCCATCGTGTATTGGTGTTAATATATTTACAAATGAAGAAGTCAAGAACAGAAAAACAGAGGGGGTGAAGAAAGTAGCCGGAATCTGTTAGTGCCCTGTTGGGAAGAGTTTTAACCACATTATGGGTGGTCAGGGTCTTTCCTAAGTGCTGCTGGGAAAAGGGCATGCTGGCTTCCTGTCGGTCAGGTGACTTCCGTCCGCTGTCATGTGACCATGCGATCATGTGATTGCAAAGTGGAGGATTGGTGCGCTGCCTGGCCAGCTACACACACGTGTGATTTGTGTGTCAGTCTCTAATGGGCTATCATCGGGGAAGTGCTTTCTGCAGGATGGAGGGGATAAGCGCCGGGGGCCATCACATGCACACGCATGCACATCATGTCTGAAACCCTCCATGTGGATTTGAAGTGCCTTCAAGTGTGTGTGTGTGTGTGTGTGTGTGTGTGTGTGTGTGTGTGTGTGTGTGTGTCAAAGTCATATGATATAGATGAGGCCCTGGGTTATACAATATGAAAATGTGAGATCATCACCTTCGAGAATCCTCCTAATCTCCGGAGCAGCTCACAAGGTTTGCTAATAGCTTTCCAACCTTTGTAAAGACTCCTGTGATTTTAGCTGTTTCAGTCAGCGTCTGCCAGAGCTTAAAATGTTGTTTCATCTCTTAGAGTTCAGGATTCTGCATCTGTGTTTTAAAATCTGGGCATGTGCTGTAGCTTTAAAGCATCTGAATTATTAATGATGAGCATCCTCTTTGTGTCAGATGATTTGCACTTACCTGTGAGCGGGTTAGCTTCTAATTGCTGACATCACATTCACATAACTGACCCTCATGAACTGATCTGAGCCAGAGAGGAGCCACAGCTGATGGATATTATGTGAGTAATATCAAGTTCTTGTTGATGATTTTGAATAAAACAGCAAAGCGGTGTAGCCGGATTCGTGATGTCCTCATTGGACCTCTGTTTCTTTTTTAAGATAAAAAGGTTACCATGGAGATAATCCTTATAATTTGTCTGAGGGTAGGTGTAAGACCTCCAGCGTGTGATGTGGCATCATCTGTAAGAAGCTGGTGCTTCTTTAGAGTGGAGTTAAATATAAAGCCCTGGCGTTTTGTGCTTCCTCCCACTGTGCATCCTGTCCGCTCGGCCTCCTCTGTTTGCTCACTCTTCTGCAGGTTTGAAAATGCAGACACTTTTTTTGTATTATAAAATCTTTCTCCACATCTCGTGAGACCTCTTCTGTAAGAAGGCTGTATTTAAAAGGATCATAGAGAGTTTTGTAGTTATATTTGGGCCTGAAATCCTCAGAGAACTGACAATTTATCACCCTTATTTTGTCATTGTCAGCCAGCAGTGCTTTTCTTTGCTTTTGGGACAGTGACGAGCGGAATGTGTTATCTACAATTAGACAAAGAAACTGAAACTGTTCACACACACTCAAATAAAACTCTGCCAGGCACATGTTATTCTGATTTTATTAAAAATTTCTGCCTTTAAGTTGTACATTGGGTTTTAATGGGATTCAGAACGAATGAGAAATCTTTTCACATAAGAGTTGACCTGCCCTCAGTGCCCTGTGTGTCTGTTTATTGATGTATTAGGGGCAGAGATGGAATGCCCATTAAACCGTTAGGCTGGGTGTGTTTAGAGGCCATTTATTTCACAGGATAAAAGAAAGTAGACCACAACTTTTTCCTCTCTTGCTTTGGTCAGGCTGTGACCGGATGACTGCAAACACAGATGTAGACTCAGTGAACCTCTGGTGCGAGTATTACAGACTCCCAAACAGCGGTATAAAGAGGATTTTATAACGTTGGCGAGAATGGATGGCAGATTTCCTCCACAGTGAGCACCCTGACATTCACATGTGAATTTAACTTGTATTATCACACATCTCTTTATGAGTCATTTGTCGCAGAGCATCTCAGTCGAGGCTGGGAGCACTTTTAGTTCAGATCAAAAGAATACAGCCTCAGACTCACTGATGGGTGCTTGTGCCTTCTTTGAGTGGAGATGAATCCCAGGATGCGGCTGGGAGGAGAACAGGCGTTTCTGAGGATATCAGGTTCAGCATGTAATCTGCTTTTGAGTTCATCAGTGGAAGACATTTGTTGTCATGAATGTTTTGCAGATGTGTTTATCGCCTTCCAGTTTTCCTCCCAAATTCTATTCATCTTCTGCTGATTAGCTCTTCTCCCCAGTCCTCGAAACCTCTTGATTTAGATTAGAATTGCACTTGCTGTGACAATGCTGTGCCTCTGATTTGGGGAGTATTCTTTCCAACCACATTTCAAATAAACAGTGTTGCTGTTTTTCATTGCTAATCCCTCCTCTCTGTCCCGTGTGCAGGATCGTAAGCTGTCCAAGTCGGAGCGTCAGCGATTCAAAGAGGAGGCTGGGATGTTAAAGGGCCTCCAGCATCCCAACATCGTTCGCTTCTACGACTCCTGGGAGGGTCCATGCAAAGGAAAGAAATGCATTGTCCTCGTGACTGAGCTCATGACTTCTGGCACCTTAAAAACGTGAGTGAGGACGGAGATTTCATCAGTTTTGATGTGTGGGGCATCTCTTTTGTATTGTTTCTTTTTCTTCGTTATCACTTGGAAACAGGATTGCTTTGTATTTCAATATAAAATAATGACACCTGCAATTACCAATCAATGAAATTAGCATCTGCTCCTCTGTTTCAAATTCTCCGATGGCCTTTTACTTGATTGTTCCAGGCACCTCTCCACTCAGCAGGACATGAGTGTTAATTACAGCTTTTAGGAGCTTTATTGTGAGAGTGGATGACTCATAACATGTAGAGTATGTGCTGCAGTTCCGTTTATCGTATTCTGAAGTGACAGCCTGTGTTAGATACAGTACTTAAATGACCTCAAACAATGGTGGGACAGGGAGCCATTGCAACACCCTAAAGCTGCTTCTAAAACAGGGTGTCCTAAACTGATTGATACAAAAAATAAACCCGTGAATCACGAGGAGACCTTGACAAAATGACAAGGATTGTTTTGATGACCTCAGTCTCCGCCTGCCCCGGCGCAAAATCTGCTGTGAAGAGCTCATGCGTCCATGATCACGCCTCCGGCGAATGCCAGGGGCTGGGGAGGTCGTGTGTCTGTGAATGCTGAGCTCCGGTTACAACAAAAGGCTGAAGGCGGGGCGAGCGCCACGCGCTGCCCGATGGCAGACCGACGGCCCACCTGCCAGCCCACCGGCCAGCCGCTGCCCCGGCCGCAGATTCCACTCATTCCTCACACCGTTCCTCAGTGCCGGGTGCAGCAGGGCACAGCCGGATGGCCAAAGTGATGGCCACATATGGACATCTGAGGCCAAAGTGGAGCAGGAGATAAGACGCAAGGCTGAGAGATGCATGTGGAGAAGAAAATGAGTTAATTTGAAGCAGCAAGGTGTTGACACCCAGCACTGACTCACCTGTAACCGTAGAGGGAGAGATGATTTAGGAAGAGCGGACAGTTAGGGACATGTCGCCCTCTACTGGACACTAAAAAAGCACCAAAAAGCAAAGCAGAGGCTGCTCCTGCACAGGAGTTTGACAATAGTCATAAAGTTTAACCGAAAGAACACTGCTGCCTGTTGACTGTCTCAATAAGAAATGAGAGACTCTACATCTAAAGACATACATTTGGACTTTATTCTTAGTAAGTGAGCAGGTCAAAAAGGTCAATCTTATTGAAAACAGAGCTGAAGCACTCATTTATTTCTTTTTCTTTTTCTTCTTGTTGCTTTGATAGTGCTTTTGGATGGTGGCTGTCAGTGATTTCCTCTGTATGAGTGTCATGTTAAGGACTTTCATACTTCACTTGCTCCAGCTCGTTCAGAGACACACTATGCATGTATGTGCACTTGTGAACAGGATGTTGGCTGTTGTCCAGGTGAATACCCAGAAAGGAGAGCCGCTGTACACTGAGCACCGAGGCGGTGGAAAAAGACAGGGGATGATGTAGGGGTGGGGAGGTGGGGGGGGGCTGATTGTGAAGATGGAAACAATGATGAGGCTCAGTGCAGGACAGAGCCCTTATCAGCATGTTTGTGTGTGGGAATGAGATATAAAGACACATTTGATCTGCCAGCTGTTGTCTGCGTGCATGTGTGTGTGTCTTACTGCACATACCTTTGTGCGCACTCAGGTTTGTGCGCTCACATGGGAGCACAGTTGAGCGGTTGTGTGTTTGAGAGACACTTTTGTGCAGTGCCACTCCAGCGCTGCATGCCACGGGATTTATCCTGTCTGTCAGCACGGCTCCGACTTCAGAACGGGAGACAAAGAGCGCAGAGGAGACAGGCGGGGAGAGGAGGGGGGGGGGAACGAAGAGGGTGTGGGCTGTCCTCTTCAAGGGATGCGTCAAAAATAAGAGGAGGGGGATGGAAGTTGTTTTAAACACAGTTTATTTATTTTGTGCTGATTATGCTTCTTCATTATTTCAACTGAACCAGTTTAAGTTTGTGTATAGAGGAGGATTGTTCCCTCTAGTGCTTCTGTCTGTTAGAGAAAGGAACAGGGGACACGAGAAGGACCTTACCGAGAGCAAAACAAACTGCCAAGTAGCAAAACCGCATCGTACAAAAATCTGATCCACCGCAAAAGATAAGACCCGATTTGGGCTGCACTTCTAATGATCTCCAACAGGGAAGAAAAAAGTTAGGGTCATCATTTCCTTAGGCAGACCACAGCGCCGGACATAGTTCAGCCAGGGTGTGTTTGTGCGGGGACAGGGACGCAGGCGTTTAAAGGGTACCCTAGCTCAACTCAACCGTGCATTTAGGCTTCCTGACAGGGTCACCGCTTCAGTCTGTTTCTCTGCGGCTCTCTAACTCTACAGTGTAGACGGGGGTGGGAGCAGACTGGGCCACGATGCTCTGTCCAGAGCGATCATATCTGCCCGGGCTGCGTTATCAAAGCAGCCGGTGAGAGTCGGAAGCTGTCGGTGATGGTGGGCCAGGCTCTCTGATGTTAGACACAGAGCAGATAAAACCAAGGGTGAATCACGGGTCACGGCTGGGTCAGGTCTAAGCTAGGACCAAGGGCAGATTCCTGCTGAGCTGTGAAATTGAATTCAACACACAAAATAGATCAAGGATAAGATTAGTTTCAATTCAACTGCTTTGACAAATAAAGTCTGTGTAAATCCATTCAACAAGCTTTGATGCTGTGACATAAGCAGATACCAGTAAATCATGAATGTGATGAGTCCTGGAATGGTTGCCTTTCCTCCAGCCATGCCTGTCATCTGGAAGAGGAAAGAATCCTCTCTGAAAACTGACAGGAAAGTCAGCGCATTTGCAGAGATTTTAAACCAAACCTGTGAATGTTTGTGCCAGACAGGTACAATTCAATGAATAAAAACTAAAACTAGATATTTCAGGCAGCATTAAGTCTGCAGTCACAGCGGCATCTTGTTATTCCTCTAAATCCGGTCAGTGTCTCAGACATTAACGTCTCTGTTCTGCTCTGTTCCTTCCCACATTCCAAAAATAGTTGAGACCAGGTGGACCCACTCGTGATCCCACACAGGTGAGGGTCTGCGTTAGGCTTTGGATGGGCTGGTGACCTGTCAGAGGGGGTTTTCCTGCTTTTCACTCAGAGTAACCAGGGAAGGACTCCAGACTGTCGGAACTCTGAACGGGAGCAAACAGGAGCAACATTGAAAAGTGGAGCAACGCGTCAGAATGATACCTTGTCGCTCTCAACATGAACGAGGACAAGCTTTAGAAAAAAAGATGTGCAGGAATGGCAAAAACGTTGACTCTAAGATTGGTTGCCATCTGCACCACATTAAAGCGGTTCTTCAGTTTAATGTGTGAATGTCAGTGCTGTAAATGCTGCTTCCTTCTCTGCACGCTGTGCTGAGTAAAAACGAGTGTTTTCTGTTTACTGCCTCTCTTAAATTGAACTCCTTTTTTTCTAAACAGAACATTAATTTTAATTTCCCCTTGACAAAGTTCCAAGCAACCACTGGAATAATGAGACGGTCTCCAACCTTGCTGGCGCCACAAAGCGTGCTAGTGACCGCCTCTCTAATTTCTTATATTTGTGTGCACAGCGATGTCTTTGGATGCATTCATGATGATGATTTTGAGCTTGTCTAATCATTATGTATTATTCTTGGACAACTGACTAATACATAATGATTAGATTAGCTTCATTTTCAAACTAAACGGTAATATCCTTCTTCTCGAGGCTTTGAAAAGTTAATGTATTTCAAAAGATTTAATTTGAGTCACTCTTGGAAAGCTTAATGATATAGTATAATATAGTAATAGGATAAAGGTCTGTTGAAGATAGAATGCACATGTTTTCAAATCATTTAGCTTTGAATTGAATTTAAATTGAGCTCTTCTAATTTTTCTCTCCTGCACGTGTCCTGCAGTTACCTGAAGCGCTTCAAGGTGATGAAAATCAAGGTTCTGCGCTCGTGGTGCCGACAGATCCTCAAAGGCCTCCACTTCCTGCACACCCGGGCTCCGCCCATCATTCACAGAGACTTGAAATGCGACAACATATTCATCACGGGGCCCACGGGCTCGGTGAAGATAGGAGACCTCGGGTTGGCCACGCTAAAGAGGGCCTCTTTTGCCAAGAGTGTCATAGGTAGGAAAATGCACACACGCACACACACACGGACGGCCTGATTCATTAGAATTTGCTGAACCAGTTTACATGCTCACGCGTCCCTACATGCAGAGCACAAATATCTTATTCCCACGAGGATGTTTGTGTGGACGTGTGTGGATACGGTTAGAGATAACCACAGATACTCCACAGGTGTGACGAGATCAAGCCGTCTGGAGACACACACACTCATGCTCGGTAACAACAGTCAAGTTTTCTGCTGAATTTCTTGGAACAATTCCAGCTGCCCTTACTGTCGGCGGCAATTTTACTTAATTTTCTCCCCCCCCCATACACACACACACTCACACACACAAAGTACTCGAATGCACATAGTTTTGCTCCCCTGAGGTGAGAGCGATACGCTCAGTTGATCCCTCAGCTGCTTTGTAGTAATAAGTGAGACCTCAGTTATTCGGGCTCGTTCAGATGGCCTCACACAAAACACAAATGTGGCATCAGTTTGTGGTTCTACTTTTGATCTATTGGTTGTAGCCCACCCAGACAATTTTTCTGTATTTTTATGGTGCTTTTTTTAACGGTGGACACTCAAATAGGGATTTTGCAGGATACACTTTAAAGACATTTAGTTAGTCTGAGAGACTCAGCAAAGCCAGTGATTTGCTGTTTTACGTTCATGTGAAAGTATCTTTTTCTTTCTCTCTCATTTTTCTCTTTTAGGTACCCCAGAGTTCATGGCTCCAGAGATGTATGAGGAGAAGTACGATGAGTCTGTAGATGTGTATGCCTTTGGGATGTGCATGCTGGAGATGGCTACCTCGGAGTATCCCTACTCTGAATGTCAGAACGCTGCCCAGATCTACAGGCGCGTCACCAGCGTAAGTGTGGCTTTGGCGCCTGTCAGGGGAACAGCTTCTTCTGAGTGTCTCCTCTGTTTGTGCTTTTGTCTCTGACCTCCATCCACTTTCTGCCAACCAGTTGTTAACTGAGTGTATGAATAAGTTTGCCATGAGCTGCAGGAGAGTCAGTTACATTATGTTGTTTTTTTTTTACATTTTCTGTCCTGGTCTGTCTGTCACGACCTGCCTCACAGACTTTGTTTCGATCTGTCTAGAAAAAAACAAAAAAGAAAGAGAGAGTTGGGCCGATCAAGGTACTTTGTAACATTTCCAGTAGTGCCCAATTTCAGTGATTGTTGATTCCCATCCGGATGAGAAAAACCAGGAAACAAATGGAGGAACAGAGGCAGAACAGATTCAATTTGACTCCCATCAGGGCTTCGAGCCTCTGAGTGCTGCTGAAGCCATCAAGCATACAAACACATGCAGACAGATGAGCTGCTTCTCATGTTTCATTTCTGGCCGAGTTCAGCTCTGCGGAGGCCGTCAGTGATTGTTAATGGACCAGAGGAATTTACTAGAAATCCCCTTTTCTCATTGAGTCTCTTTATCCTTTTCTAGTCCCTCCATAATCCCACATTCATCTTTGCTGCTTGTTTGCCCCTCTCATCTTTTATGTTATCTTTCAGCATCAGCCACATTTTCTCTGGTCTATTATTAAAGTTTAATGGTTGGCCCAGAGTAATGAAGAATGAGACGAACCAAAGCATTGCATTTTTTTCACAATGTCCTTTTAACACATTGAGAAAAGCATCAAGCTTCTGGTTAGATTGACCACATTATAAATACATTAGTGATTACTTTTGGGTTTCATTTTCATCAAGTTACATCTGAGTGGAATTTTCAAATGGAAAGGATTTGGATTATTATTCCCCTCACTTCCTCTCGTCATCTTTTTCCCCAAAAGGAATCAGTTCGCTGTTTTTTGTCTGTTTGAATACTTAAGTGTAGCTGAAGGTGCTTCATGAAGGCAACACATCCAGGTGATGTTCTATCTCTCTACGTCTTTCTTTTCGCTCGTCTCAATCTCACAAAAACTGAGATCTCATCCCGAGCTGGACCAAACCATATCAGATTAGAGTTGTGTCCCGGCTCTGAGGTTCACTGTGCTGTTTGTGTTTGTGTTAGAAGTAATTAGCAAAGTGATCCCATGCACTGAAAGCAGCAGAGCTATTTGCAAAACACGTCCAGCTGCCAGCTTCAGTTTGCCGTGTTTTTGAATGTCAGTCACAGGCAGAACCTTGTGCCACCCCCAGAGAGACCAAGTAACCCGCTTCCTCCCATCCCGCTGCTTAATGCATCACCTGGTTCCCCCTTTTTTTCTAATGCTGACTTTTTTCACCAATCATGGCATGGACTCACCCTTAAAATGTAGATTCTCTTGCATACTCTGACAGATTTATAGATCCTGGTGTAGCACGATCTTTAAGACCACCTTGATGCTTGCTTATGATCTCCAACAGGAATCTCCATCTTTTTTATTTAATTGTATTGGTGGATGAACTTACTTTCAAAACTTTATTCAAAGATTAACTTGTATTGGTATGGAAGTCAGAGACCAGGGAATGTTTTGAATAGACTTTATTGCTTTGTATGATCTTCCTATACCTTCAAAAACAGTGTTGTTGACAGAATTCATCCCCTATTATGGGTGTAGAACATTCCTTACCCCCAATTAGCATCATTTTGCTAAAATCCAGATTTCCCTCCATCCCTCCCTTCTTCTGTCAGACTTAATGCCATTACACCCTGCATCAGTCTTAACCTTGTTTGGCCCTGGAATCTCTGTATGTGTGTGTGTGCGTGTGTGTGTGCATGTGTGTGTGTGAGTGTGTGTGTGCATGCTGCTGAGAGCTGGGGGTTGTTTTATAATAATGAACTGTGGGATAGCATGAGAGAAACATGCTAAGAAAGAAAAGGAAGACAGAAAGGAAGAGCAGAGGGAAATGGTCGCGTACAAGTTATTAGTCGTCAGTTTCTCTACCAGTGAAGACAAAAAGCTGTTTTAAAAGCTTTTCTCCTGCAGTCGACCCTGAGCACTCTGTAGGTAAGTCACTTATTTCAGATAGATGCCAAAGAGCGTCCAACCTGAGGAGTAACTTTACTTTGGGACATTTTGGGATGTATTTGAAGTGTTTGAGTGTCATTGCTTCATCTGTGTGACGTTATGTGTGCTTTTGTGGGATTTGTCCAAATAGATTTCACCTGCTTTGAGTGCCTGTTCTAGTTCTCATCAGCCACTCATATTTTTTTAGTAACGGGATGTCTGATAGGCTCCGCTAGAGGAGTTTTGAGTTAGAGGGGTCAAAAAGCAACAAACTCTGAACTTGTAACATGATGACAAATGAAAAATACTTTACTGTCTGTAGTTTAACATCAAGGAAATATTGTTTTTCTTGTGTATGTCCTTTACGTTTGAATCCATTTCTTTTATCTTTTTTTAATTGAGCACCAGCGTGTGTTGGCTCTTGTTTCTTTTCACACAATATTCGCCCTGTTATTCAGAACAATTTAACAAATATGTTCATTAAGAAAAACCTTTTTCTTAATGACCTCAGGTACAGGGAGCTTATTCCACCCAATTTCTCTTCATCACATGAACTTTGGTGGCCCGTCACCCTTCAAATGTTTTATTTCACATGTCTATCAATGTAGCATATGTTCTCCTCTTAACCTTTTTTCATTTCCTTCCCCAGCCTTTCCAGTGGGACATTTTTAATTTTTATGATTTGGCCTCAGAAACTGCAGTTAGTGCCAGACTTCTAAGCGGGTTCCTGCTGATTAATTCTATCAGTGTTATCCCTCAGAGTGTGCTCTTGTGTTGTTAATTGGCTCTGAAAGGTCGCGCTTCGTAATTTACTCCCTCGACCGGGTTTATGAGGAATTTAACCCCAGGTCAAACTATTACTGGACATTCTTTGACACCTCAGGTCCTCTGATGGTTGAATGCTTCGTCTTAATTCTATTGAAGTTAATTTATCCGGCAGTTCGAACAATTTGTCACAAATGACATTTTGAGGCTGTTTCAGGTGTCTATGTTATTTCTGTTTGCCTTAAACAAAAGAAGAAAAACAAATATGCAGGTCATGCCCTGAAAAGAACATTTTGTTCTGAGAAGAACAAGTGGAATAAGTGAACATCTGTTATGTGAAACTTAATTATGCGCTTTAACTCAGACCACATGTGTGTGTGTGCGTGAACCGGTTGCGAGGGGCAGTAAATCTAACCTTTGCATTAGTGAGAAAGAACAGGTCTCTCTTTTGGGTTATTTCTACCTTGTCTTGATATGCATCAGAAAGCTTCGCTGCCCTCACTGCTCATTTATTTGTGTGCAGGGAGTGAAGCCTGGCAGTTTCGACAAGGTAGCCATTCCTGAGGTGAAGGAAATTATAGAGGGCTGCATCCGAACGAACAAGGACGAGAGGTGAGTCATCAGAACGAAAAACAGCAAGCCTACATAAGAATTTGTTTTGTCATTATGTCTTAAGCGGCCTGTAACTGTAGCCACTCTTCTTTTTACGGCTCTCTCTAATGCTAATATTTATTAGATGGATCATGAAATGACCGCAAGACCCAGTTATGCCTGATGTGTTGAATAGCTTTCTGCGTTGGTTTAGACACTGCAGTAGTAAATCCTTCTTTTCTTCACATTCCAATCCAACTCACAGCTTCTGTGGTTAGAAATAAGAAGTTTTCTGTTCCCTCGCCCATGCTTTGGTTCTGCCAGCACATCCATCATGTCTGCATCTTTACAGACTAAACTAGAGCAGCTTTTATCCCCTTTTGTTCTCCTTCCTCACAGTTTTATCCTAACCACAAGCACACTCCTTGATTTCAGATAATTCGTAGGACTAAGTTGTACGTTTTTTTTTTTGGCAGCCAGTAACATGGATATACACTAACAGCTGGACAGGATGTCATCATAATGCTGTAATTCTCAGAACACTAAATCTGCTTAATTCTCTCCCCCCAGGTATGCCATAAAGACCCTGCTGAACCACGCGTTCTTTCAGGAGGAGACGGGGGTCAGGGTTGAGCTCGCAGAGGAGGATGATGGAGAAATGATTGCAATCAAACTGTGGCTCAGGATAGAAGACGTCAAGAAGCTCAAAGGCAAGAAATCAGTAACCCAAAAACAGGATTGGAATCTTTTATGTTATTATTTCTTTGTCGCTCAAAAATAGTAAACAAGGAAAATAGATTAATAACTTGGTGTTAGACCATTAAAATCAATGGATTCACTCTAGCTGCATTTTTAAAAACTTTTTTGCAGGCAAATACAAAGACAACGAAGCTATCGAGTTCTCCTTTGACCTGAATAGGGATGTCCCAGAAGATGTGGCGCAGGAAATGGTATTTTATTTTGAATGAGGGATGGATGGGTGGATTTCAATGAATAAAATAACAGAATGCAGATGCAGAAAACTAACGAGTTTGCTTTGCCGTTCTTTACTCCCCAGGTTGAGTCTGGCTATGTCGCAGAGGCTGACCATAAGACGATGGCCAAGGCCATCAAGGACCGTGTGTCTCTGATTCGAAAGAAGAGAGAACAGAGGCAGCTGGTGCGCGAAGAACAGGAGAAGAGAAAACTGGAGGCAGAGCAGCAGCAAAAGCAGGAGTCATTCAAAGCGTCACGCTCACAGGTTTGTTCGGAAAGCCCATTTGGATTTCATGTTGAAAAATCAGGCGTTCTCTCATTGGGCTGCTGTATTAAATTAGGTCCGAATAGGATTTTTTTTCATTGCACAGGATTTGACTGCACTTATTATTTTCTATTCGTCCCATTCTGCTAATAAAGTTCCGGCTGTCTTCATCAGGCATCCCGACACCACGTGGCCCATATTCCAGCCCTGGAATTTTGTACATCAAATCCAAACCTTGTGAATTCAATCGACAGTGGCAACGCTTGCCTAAAAGTTTGAGTTTTGCCTTCATACATTGCATTAGCTTGACCCTAATTAGTGCTTGTGTGCATGCAGACGGAGACGGAGGAGACTGAAGTGGAACAACAACAGCTTCACTATCAGCAGAGTGGCGTCTTGCACATATGTAAGACCAGCTTATCAGAATTGTTCCTACACAATGTTTGTCTCCCTGCTTCTTATGTTTCCTAGACATGGTCTTATGTTTCTGAGCTAGATTAAGATAATAGCAGTCAGTTATGTGTGGTTTAAGATCATTTTGTGATCTTAACGTTGTTCCAGGTCTAAAAAGATAATGAAACATTAAAGCATATTGTACATTGAACTACATAACTCCTGGCAAATGTCAGAGTTTTCCTGAGTGAAGGCGAACCATTGTTGACGAACTATTCAAGTGTGTGCACAATTTCAAACCATCCCATTGTAACCAGAGAGCGCTTTGGAGCCAGCTCTGAAGTATTCCTTCCTTTAATTGTATGCCACAGTAGTTTGTGAGCGTCTGTTGAGCTCATTACTTTAGGGATGAAGGGGAGACGTAACAAAGTGTTGCCTCTGTGTCTCTCCCAGCTGAAGGTGGTGTGGACAGCGGGCAGGGCTCTTCAGTTTTCTCCTCAGACTCCCCCCACCTGGGTCAGCTTACCATGTCCTACAGCTGCCCCCCCTCCTCCCAGCCCCCTTCCCAGCCCCAGACCCCATACCCCCCACCCCAATCCGCGGCCCCGCCGCAGCACCCGGGCTATGCCCAGCCGCCCCAGCAGATGGTAAGTGGTGACTCTGCTCGCCGTATCACAGATGTGAACGAGACGGGTTTGCTGAAGTGAGTCGGAATGATGTTTGCAGTGTTTGAGGAAGCCTGCAAGTTGTAACTGCTCGAGTTTGTTCAGTTTGATACACATGGGAATGCGGTTTGTACTCTTTTGACTTGATGAAAATAACCTTTGATCTCAAAAACTGAAGTAACAGAAAACATTGAGCCTCTTTCTTCCCAGAAGGGCATGCGGTGAACAACTTTTAACCTCATTTAACAGACATGGCTAGTTTTCAGGCAAAAGTAAAAAAAAAAAACAGGAATACCCAGTTAGATGTTTCTGCCAAAGAGCTAGTTATTCCCTTAGTTATCCAGCAGATCAGTTTAGTTTGCTTCTGTAGTTATTCATTTTAGGTTGAATCACTCACCTTTTTTTCACCCTCCAAGGCCTCATCCATCTCTTCTTTCCCACGCTCCTGCATTCTTATCAAACACTTACTTCTTCTGTCCATAACTTTTGAGGCCATTTGTTCTTCTAGTTGTCACATGGTTTATTCATTCATTTACAGTTACATCTTCTTTTTTTAAACATTTTTTTCATGGTTTGGGCACATGTTGGGAGACAAGGTTTTTGCTCAATTAAACAGAAGAATCATACATTTTGAATGTAAATATCAATCTGTCTCTAAGTGACGTCACCCACACGCTCTAAGGTGTTTCTTCCAGCATACGGGACGTTCTAACCATATTTTTTATTTATTGATGTCTGAACAGGAATGAAGCATCAGTGTTTAAAGAGTTATGTCGAGGCAACCATAACTGACTGCAGAGCCACTTTAGACATGGCTGTCTGACGGTCTTTGGTTCAGAACAGCGGCGCCCATAATGATTCAGTTCTTAAACCAAATTGTCACTAACTTTGTGGGTAGGTTGATAGAATAACTCAATCATGGTTTTGCTTTTTTGTGGTGGGTTTTTCTTAAATTGGACAGAAGTTCCCAGGCTTATTTCATTATCAAACGATTGTTCATGGACTCGAGGTACAAAATAAATTAACTGGGTTTATCTCATTAGATCACCATCCAAGGAATTATTTTGGATAATTTTTGTTCCCTCTTTTATTATGTGTTTTCCTTTTTTTCAGTTTTTTTTCAGTTTCTTTCAGTTCATCTTTTATTTTCCTTAGGTTGTATATTTATTAGATTTTGTTATTTTTGATCCTGTACATTTGAAATGGTATGTTCTAATGAGAGATCTTCTGTTGGAAAAATGAATGTGTTACTGGTGCGATCTGCCTCTGAACTGATCTGATTCAGAGGCAGATTGTCATGATGGTCAACTTACTTTCTTTGTGTTCAGATATCAGATCAAAATGTGAATCCTCATTGTAATTTATTTTTCTTTTGTCAAAATTTCCCCTTGCTCATCAAGTTCATGTTATGTTCTCTATTTAAGAACATTATTTGTCATTGTTTTTTAACCTCTTTGTTTTTCATGTCGGCCCCACCCTCTTCCACCTCCTCTCCCTGGCCTGCAGCCCGCATCACGCGGCCGTCGAAGTCGTAGCATGTCTATTTGCGTCCCCCCTTCCTCTTATTCCTTTTGTAATACTCCTGCGTCCATGGTCGTTCCTCCGAAAAAGCCTGTCACACCTCCTCCAGACCTGTCCTCCTACATCTCCACCTCTACCACTTCACCCTCCACACCTCTCGCAGCTGAGAGGGACACATTTGCTGGGCGCCTCTCCAAGGCCCTTGAGACAGTCCTACCCCTTCACTCAGCCTCTTCTCAGCCCAGGGCCAGGCAGCGGAGGGCCAGCCTGCCTGCCCTCTTTTCAACCCCTGTAGGTCCACAAAACTGATCCCCAGTGGTGGTGTGATCCAAAGAGGGAAGAGAGAGAAAAAGATGAGCTGCATTAGCCACACTTGAGATTTAACCTTTGGATAATTTAATTAAGAAACTAATTGGAAGTTAGAAATGTTAATAATATTATAATAAATTGATGATATATTACTAAACCAGCTATACCATGAAGAAACATTAAATTAAATTAAGCACTTATTTGCTGCTTAGAATCAAAAGTGGAAGATGAGATGCACGGTAAAAATACTCCTGCTCCCTTAACAAAGCATTTATAGTTACATCTTATATATAAATGATGTTTTTGGCAAATAAAAAAAAAGAAATGTAGTGTGCTGAACAAGCACCTCACTGATCTCTATGCATTTTGTAGTACCTTTTCCCTGTTAAGTGGGTTCTACATGGTTATCTGCTCCAGTATCTTTAATTTCTGGTGCATGAATCAGCCGCAAACCTCATAAAAATGAGACGGTTATCTTTACATGAAGCTGTGCACAACTCAGATTAATAATCAGCTGAACTGAATCAGGTTTTTCGAGGTAGAGAAACATCCCAAAACATGCAAAGCTGGAGGTCTAATTTTTTTTAGACAAATCCATCTCTCTTTGACTCTCTCTACCTCTGGTAAGCCGCAATGTGTGGATAATAGAGTGTCGTGAGCCATAACCATGTTCTGTAGTACCAAAGTCTAACATGCATCTGCTCTCAGGAAAAACGCCCGTTTTTCAGCCAAAGTCAAACCAATTTTACGCAATGTCAACAGATAAAATACAGTTTTGACTGATTTCATCCCATCATTGATCAAATTAGTACAGAAGTATGGGATAGAAATGGGATAAACAGTTCTATTTACAAGAGTCAGTTACACTGTACTCAATGGCCTGGATTAATTCAGTTATATTTGACATCTTAATACATTTTGAAATATCTGTAATAAAAAGTTCCAGGCTGCAAATATTCAATTAGAGGGTCACATTGTAGGCTTATCTTTTTCCCGATTGAAGATGCATCTTGACATTGCCAAGCGTTGGCGTTTCCTCTTTCCACTTTTATCCACCCGTCAGCTTGTGTATCTCTCCTTCTATCTGGCATCTATCTTTTGTCTGGTCTGCCTGTCTTTGCCCTGCAGCTGTATCAGTGTGTCATCAACTGTAACCACTTTCATATTTCCTCCTCACCACTGTTTTCATCACTTTGTTTACAGCTTTTACGTAAAGCTTTTGTGTTCTTTACTTAAGTCTGCTTTCAGTATGGAGGATGGATATCCATCCTTTTGTGTTGGTTTTTGAACTTCTACTTATTGGATTTATGTTTTGCTCCATTTCATGTGGGCCTTTGGTGTGGTTCTATGTCATTCTCTTGAGTCTCATTCTTAAATCCATTGTATCTCACTGTCGCAGCAGCATTCAATGCCACATCCTTTCAGTGGCGGAGCGAGCTCAGGCGGAGGAAGCGCGGGAGGGAACATGCCTCTCTCAGCCCTTCCAGACCCCCCAAGCATTTTCTTCTCCTCCATCCCTGAGCGCCCCGTTTCCTTCTCTCCTCCCCCCACTGGGCCTCCAAAGGCTTACAACAACCAGAGACGGAAGAGCACCTCCATTCTTGAGGCGCATACCCGGCACTTCCAGCCTGCTTACCCTCGCTATGGGAGCAGCCTTCACCCCTTTTCTGGAATGGAAGGCGTTGAGCCACCTCCTATGTTTATGGTCAATCCCGGTTTTGCAGCAGCTGCTCAGAGACTCGGTGTGGGGGAACCTCTACATCATCCGGGACAGTCTGACCCAAGCATGTATGGCTTTAAAGACCTGAGGGCAGAACACGAGGAAACGGTGAGGAGGTTGAGTCTGAACCAGGCCGCCCTGCTGGACCATTACGAGGCCATGGCGTATGGAGGATACCCAATGACTGCACATCAGCTGGGCCACTTGAGTTTCCATCACCAGAGGCAGGCGGCTGCAGCAGCTGCCAGTTTGGGCTTTGATCCTGGTCATCCATCTCAGCCGGGGTTCCTGCACCCTCACATCATGCAAAGAATGAGTGCGCACAGCCCAATCCCTCCATCCATGCCCCCGATGAGTGCTTCGGCTGGTGGCGCCATTTCCTCTTCATCAGCTGAGGGATGCTATCCTCCACAACACGCATCTTCATCCTCCTTCCCTGTGTCCGCCCCCGCCATCATGGCCGATGCTCCTCCGTCTGCCGGGAGTGTTTTTGAGTTCCATTTAGCTGCAGCGGCCGCAGCAGCAGCGGCCGCCGTAGACCCAAACCTCCTGGCGTCCAGACTTTATCGAACCAGAAGGAGCTCCATGGACCTCCCGCTAGAGGACAGCTCTGGGACAGGATCCGGCAGCTCTGGGACTTACAACCGTCTCCAGCCCGTGACAGAGGAGCTGAGTGCTTATGTCAGCCCGGAGCTCCCTTTGCCCCCCGGAAGCCTTCTGCTTCACCACATAGGTATTAGCACAAAGGACAGAAGCCCAGACCCGTCCAGTGACTCTCTGGCCTCCTCTGATGCAGGAGAGTTCCAGTCACCCCCTCCCCCGCCTCTCCTTCCTCCATTTGACTCCTCAGCTGCCCAGTCCATCCCTCGCTCTTCCTCGTCTGCACATTCATCTGGAGGAATGGCTCATTTGGACCCACAAGGACATCCACCTTCTGGGATTAATTTTTTTCCCCCAACCCCGTCGTCTGAGATCCCGCTTGGGGGGGCGCCGTCCAGTCAGCTGGAGTCTCTGATGCAGAGTGCCTGGGCCCGGCATGGAGGGATGGTACCAGCCCAGCCGGATATGACATACCATGAGTCAGTGCTGGCCATGCAGCCAGCTAACCCCCCTCTGGTACAAAGTTTAATCCTCAGAAAATCCCCATAGACCTCTGGGTCAGTTACTTGTTGAAGTCAGTAAAGTTGCCTATTCAGCAACTTTAGATCCACTGGGTGATGTTTGTTGATGGATGCTGATTTATTGGTTAATTTGTGTTGTTTAAATTGGGGATACCTCATAAAGTGAATATTTAATAAACACTGTCATGGATTTATAACGGTGTAAAGACAATCGAGCCATAATGGTCTTTTGCTTGCGGTTTTGGAACAGAGTCATGGAAAACATGATCATCCATCAACTAACATCAGTCATTCTAAAAGTAATTTTAATCAAATTATATTAGTAATCTGATCCAGAGGGAGTTATAGCAATCCCTGTTTTGATACCCCGCTGACCCAGGTCCCACAGCTGATAGTTATGTGTCATTTGTAGCCTCATTGTGATTTTAACCCCCTCCAGTCATATCAACACCTCAGAGAGGGTCTCAGTCTGCCATCATAATGCTGCACATTATTCAGAGTCTCAGGTCTTCGGCATGGAATCATGTTTTCAACAATATTAATAGAGTTTGTATTTAGTCACTGCTAGTTTGGTTGAGCCTTAATGGAGAAAAGTATGAAACGGCTGACATCTGGGAAAAACCAGAACATTTCGTCCAAGTCCAACATAAGAGTCATTATTGTTTGTTGAGATAATTTATTTAAAAAGCAGCATGCTGATGGTAGTATTTGAGGCACTCTCTAATGCACAGGCTGTGAACAGTCTTAGCCCCACCTCCTTTATGTGCTTATGTTGTGGACTAAAATGATTTTGTCACTATCAGTAAGTACTATTTTGTCTGTATGTTCATATATATGAATGTATATGAGAAATGTGTGTTTGTATGGGTATGCTATTTTTATGGTATACCTGGATTTTACTCATACAAATCCAAAGTCAAATAGATTCTTATAACTTACTAAGTGCGAACTTCAAATTGTCATGGGTATTTTCCATTAATAGAGCTGTAATTACAGAGCACTAACTGGCGACATCAGTAAAGGCTTTACATAAAGCCATTGAACCGTTAAAGCTGGAAGACTTTGTTGATTTGTACGGACAAACACACAGAGACATACAACAAAACTGAGAAGGCCTAGACAAACCAAGCAGTGTAACCACCTGCGGAGTCATCCTTTTGTGCGTTCTTTAGGGCAGTTCTGTTGTTTTGTGTTGTATGTGCTAAAGAGCTCCTCTTTCAGGCAGTTTTTTATTTCTTAGCATATTTTGTTGTCATTTCCTGCTCAGACTGAAGATCAGCTTCCGGCATTGAGTTCAAAGGTCACAGCTGAAATGTATTAAACCCTTAGAACGCTGATGTCATCCGTGTCATCTATACTTTTTCCCTTCGGTTTCCCTTCAGTCACTTTCTGTCACTGGCTTTTCTTTCATGGTTTCAGTCTTATACCGACAATTAACTCCACTTTTGTGACATGTCATTTATTTTCATTCCTCAATGTTTCTTTCAGCCTTTATTTTTATTTGTGCTCTGTGAGGTTCTTTACTGTGTTTGAGTTGTAGCCTGTGTTTAGCTGAAGGTAGGTGGTAGCAACATGATGTGTCTGCATAGGCTTTCTTCACACTTTGTGAGGCGGAGCCTCATGGCCAGAACACAGAGAGAGTTGCACACAGCCTTCTAAGGGTTCACTCACTTATTGGTAGGTCATTGTCTGAATAATGCCTTCTATCAGACAGTTTGAATAGCTTAGTAAGGGAGGGGACTGCCCCATTCACTATAATAATCATCTAAGACTTTCATGGATTAACAATAGCACAGGAAGTTAATTTGAATCAATCTTGACTGGGAAAATTAAGAGAAAATATCACATTTTAGATTTCCATATTTCAGAATATATTTAGAATTCCTCTATTTTAGCCAACTTTTTTCTTGTTGAGTGTCAATACTCATACTTTTAATCTAAGCTTTGTTGACTCCAATATGTAACATTTACTTATCATCGCTGCCAATCATTAAGGTTCTTACCTGCATGCAATGTAATAAGAAAGACCCCCTACTGACCCCCTGCTTAACCCCAGTGTTGTGCCTGTGCTGTTGCTGCATATGCACACAGTAGCTGGTAATATGCGTCTATGTGTTGCTGGATGAAGGAGTGTGTAAACATGTGTTTGTGCATGGGTGCATACACAAGAAGGCGGTCTACTTCATGGGCTAATCAGTAGAACGTAGAAGTACCTTGTGTTTGTATTCATGCATGATTTTGCTGTGTAAGCTACAAACACGTTCTGATTCTGTTTTTTTTCTCTCTTTCTCCTTGTTCCAATCTCTTTCAACTTTTCACTTCCATTCTCCATGATTTATGTCCTACAACATCGGATCGTTTCCTCTGGGGTTTTTTCTCTTGTCCGTCTCTCTGTAAATCTGTTTCTAAACAGCTGGTTCAGGCCCCGACTCCTCAGCCAAGTTCAGTGCCTCCGCTGGTCTCTGCCACCACACAGCCAGCTCCCCTTGGGACATCCCAACAAGTGAGAGGAAAAAGCCACCACACATCCATGCGTGCGCAGCACTGATTGTTTGCTAACCTCTCTACTGCCGTGTTCCCTCCCTCCCTCCAACTTCTGCAGGTTGTGTCAGCTAGTCAGAGCAACACGTCCCTTCAGAGCCCGACACACACAGCTCTGCCGCAGGCGCCTGCACAGGTAATAAACATTTCCCCTCCCAATACAAACCAGTTGGCACTATCTCTTACAGAGAGGTGCTGGCTTGAGTTAATATCTTTTTGAACTTCTACATAAGCATCACAAAGATTAAATGTATATAGTCCTGAGTCTGTGGTGGAAGTGCTCGTGTCAGATGGCTGGAACCAAGTGAGCATGTTTCGATAGAAGGCTTATAGACTAAGTAACTAGCTAACTGCTAAACCCACACACAGAACATGGATATATGCAGGTGATTTGTAGAGTAAATGTTCCTACATTCAGTTGATGTTTTGTTGTGTTTTTGTGTAATTTCGTGGTCTGTTCCACCTGAAATTGATCATCACCAGTTCAGTTGTTTGTTTCTTCTGTTTTTCTTTCTATTTTCTGGCTTGCTGATGGGCATGCTGTGTGTCTTTACCACTGGGTTTGTTTCTGTATGTTTTCACTTTTTTATGTTTTATTGGTGTGTGTCTGTGTGTGTGTAGTTGTGTGATTTAAGTCCATCTCCCAGTATAGAGCACCTTTACTTTTTGTACCAAGCTGCCAAGCTAGCCCTGGTTCAGGTGTGTTTCGTCCTGTATGAGGATATTTAGGTGTGTGTCCATCCTTATGTCTTAATGTTTGGGAATGTGTTTACCTTAGAAGGTAATTGTCAGTCACTGTGATTTGTCGCTGAATGTGTTCGGTGTTGAATGGAATGCAGGCAGAATTAGTACCTTATTACATTAGCTGTGATGTCTTGTTTGTAAGAACTATTTTTCACCTTTGTGTACCTGAAACACTCCTATTAACCCCTGATTAAACCGTGTTATTAAAGGCACAGATCATAAATACGCCAGCATATTTAATGGAAATGCAGATGGGTCATTTTTCCAGGACTGATACACATCATGAGGTTCCACCAAAGAGCATGAAACGTGCACTTTACCAGTGAGTGGGAATTCAAAGTGTGTGACTCTTTTCCGATAGTAGTCATTAGATGGATGACAAGGCCTTCAGTGAGCGAAATTATAATAAAACTAGGGATGTAGACATTAAACTCAGGAAACATGCTGAGTATGGTCACAGATATATTAAAAAGGAGGGACATTTTTTCAGAAGACTCATCTTGTTTTACTAATTTTAGCCTCCTTAGCCTTCTCCCCTCTGTGCTGCTGCCTCTGACCCTGGAAATTGTTCACAGCCCAGTATTTTTTAATGTGAAGATACTGTACTTTATTTTTAATTTCAGAACTCTTATGGCAGGTTTGGCCTTTTTAACGTTTAAAAGTAAATGCCACTGCCATTTACAGATAATATGCTCATCTGGCATGTTTTGCATGTCACGTTTAATTGGTGTAGGCCTCCTCTGCACGCATCTTTTAATCGATGCCAAAGAAAAAGGGTGCCTGGCTAAATGGGTTTGGGTTAGGGTAAGTATGTTTTATCCAAGGTCATGTGGGTCTGGTTTTTATTTTTCCATATCGTTGCCTCTCAGGAGCAACACAGAAAAGAGTACCATTCGAGGGGTCCTGTATCCCCTTTTGGAAGAATGTTGCCCATCTACATTGTGAAAAGAGCTTGCTTGTTCCTTCAAAGTCTTGACCTCTGACTGCACGTCGTCTTTTATGAGTTTTGTGTCCTGGTTGCATGGTAGACACAAGTGTGTGTCACGTCGTAGTTTTGCCACTGAACATGCTTGCTTTCAGAGCTTGGGATGTTTCACTAATAGATTTGATGTTAGTGTAACAGCCGCCTCGGATAGAGTGTTCCTGTGTTTGAGCCTCATAAATGTGCTTTTCATGTAGCTCTTTAACATCATATATCAGCGAAAGCAGTCTTCCCTCTCTTATATGATGTAACCATGAGCTTTGGTTCACCGCCCACTGCCGACACAACCAAGAGAAGTTTTCTCAGTCTGACCACACTTATCACTTTTGATGACTTCGTCTACTTCTTCATCCACCTGACTTCAATTCCGTCTTTTTCGCGTTTTCTCGTCCCGTTCATCCTCTGCCATCTTCTCTCTTTTCCCCTTCTTTTCCCTTTCTTGGAATCTCTCTCTCAGCCCAGTCCAACTTTGCCTCGCCCCACCGTTTCCTTGCCGACCCTCCCTTCTCCGTCGCCGTCCATTCCCGTTGTCATACCGACAGCAGTCATGGTTTCCCCTCCCTCTCCTCTGCCAATCCCTGTTGGGGTACCTCCAATTGTTTCCCCTCCTCCTCCTCCACTTCCTGCTGTTCCCACACCTGTGCCTCAGCTTTTGGCCACCGTGGTGCCAATCATCAGTGTAGTGGCCGCCCCACCTGACACTCCCATGGAAGCCCCTCCTAAGGTACTGGTTCAGCTGAAGCAGACCAAGTGGGTGTCATGTCCCCGTTCAATATCTGTGACGATAAAATGCTGTATGAGGGCGCATTCAATAGAGGCCGTTCCCAAAATGTAGAAAACATCATCATGGTTGCTGCTTTTTAAAAATTTCATCTCCATTTCTCAAAAGTCAACTTACTAAAAGCTATTTGTGGTATTTCTTATTACTAAACTTCTAAATATCCATAAAGATTTGTTTTCTTGATTAGTTACTGAATTTTAAAGACTACTAAGAGTTTTAGCTCCCAGTAATGTAGTATTGTATAATGATGGCATGTTCATGCTGTGCACACACACACACAAATGATGTGACCTAGTTTGTTTCTGTTAAGTTTGGGAGTTATGAGATGAGCATTTGAGATCACTGGTATGCTATTCGTTGTTGAAATGCACAGCATTATTTTGGTGTTTCTTGTTGAGGATTTTGGAGGGAAAACACACATCAAAGCAGCATTTGTTGGAGAAATCTCTGGAAAAAGTTTGTAACTTCTCTGATTAGACTGACGAGCAGAACCGGTTAAAAAGTGTCAGAACGGGGATTTGCTTTTGGAAGTGACAGCTTAAGTTGAAGTGTAGTAATATTTTTCATTTTTTATTTATATTTCATCATTTCAAGTCCTTTAACACATAATAGAGTGGAGTGGTGATTGAGTGGTGGCCCAACGTCAGTGTTTTTTTATTCCCCATGCAATGTTTCATTTCAGTTTTAAAGCTTTCGCTTTACTGTTTGTGCACATTTTCATTTGGGTTTTCTGTGTATGGGGTGTGTTTCAGTCAGCCTCACAGTCTTCAGAGCTGTCACAGTCGCAACTACAGCCACCTCAAGCTTTCTCATCCATAGAGAGGTAATATATACACTTCGCTTCATTTTTCTGACCGCACTTAATGTTTTTTAAACACTTTGCTGTGTTTCCCTCCCATGCTTTGCACATTAGCGGCCACTCTGAGACCTCAGGTCTGAGTGATGGCAACGAGGGAGGCGGCAGCGGTCTCCACGAAGGCCGCTCCAGCAAGCGACATCAGAGGCGCTCCGTCCGGAGTCGATCACGCCACGAGAAGCTGTCTAAGGCCAAACTCAATGTTCTCAATGTAAAAGCACATCTAACAGTCTCTCTAATGAAATGTATGGACAGAAAGTGCAGCTGATAACTTTGTGTGCATGTAGATCTCCAACCGAGGTGACAGGGTAGCAGAGTGTCAGCTGGAGACTCACAACAGGAAGATGGTGACTTTTAGGTTCGACCTCGACGGAGACAACCCCGAGGAGATTGCTCAGATTATGGTAAACTACACTGTCACACTGCGGGTCACACTTTTAACAGCTCTTTCTCCAAAAAGAACAATATGACATTAGGCCCTTTTCCCCAGAACATAGTTTTTGTTAGGTTGTGAATAAATTTAGGCATTCTTTGGTCTAAATACCAGGCAACAGAATATAAAGAGATGCAGCATTATCGAAAAAGATATAAGAACACGTATTTTCGGAATATCTCTCCTGGTAAGTAATGACAGTAAAAAGTTACCACATGTTTTAGCAAAATATGTTTAAAAAAGAGGCAGAAAGAATCATCAGGTTGTATCTATCTTTGATTGACTCCAACATGTGTTTGAAGATAGAGACACACAGTGCTTTACTGACCTGCAGTCACACTGGTTGCACTTAACGGCACATTTGATAAACCTCAGCTGTGTCTGAGGCCAACCGGAGTGATGTCTGAATGTAGGCCAGAACAAATAGAAAAAGGGTGATAAACTTAACCTCATTAAATCAGCAGCTCATGGACAAAAACATGAAATTCGCTTTTACAATGGGTTTGTTTCTGAAGCTGAAGATGAAACATTGTCTGATATCTCTGTACTGTACTGTCTTTGCAAAACCTCAGCAGTACATGATACTCCTGTACTCTGGATGTTTTTACTTTGATGGAGAGTGACTTTATCAGGCTCTCTTATAGGACAACTTTTCTTTTTTTCTGACAAAATGTATCTTTTTCTATGTTAAGGTCCAAAGTGAATTTATTCTGGAAAGCGAGCGGGAATCGTTTATTGAGCAGGTCAGAGAGGTCATTGAGAATGCTGACAAAAAGGGTCTGGAAAGAGACACGAACAGTCAGGTAAAAACACACTAAATCATCATGACTTTTTTTTTTTAGTCTGTTACCTTTATGGATTTGGGAGTCGACTCAGAGCCATAAACACTGTAGATGACATGATGATGATTACCTAAGACATCTGATTCATTCTAGTTAACACATTCTCTTGTTGATCTACAGATGATGGGGGACAAACAAGAGCAGACACCAGTGATATCTACCCCTATGCCAGGTAACAACATCAGAATACAAAGAAACTACACTACACTTTGTTATACAGTCTTTACAGAACAATTGTTGTTCTTTTTTGCATGTTTTACTCAGACAAAAAAAAAATGGCAAGGCCTTGATTTGCCTTTAATTTTTCATAGACATACCATCAAGTTCAACAGCACAAGTGGTCCATTCAGCAGGTCGAAAATTCATAGTCAGCCCCGTACCTGAAACCAGGCTGAAGGAGCCAACGTATCCCACTTCTCCTGCGTCCCCTGGACTTCCTGTTGAAGCAGGTAAGCTCTCTGAATCTGTAGATGTCACTTTTGAAAGAGACTTGTAGTCTCTTGTCTGCCTTTGGAAAAGTATTATACACTTAATAATATCTCCAGTTGATTCAGCTTGGTTACAATCCATTGGGTATTAGCATTTTGCTTTATCAAATGTCTATTGTCTTTGTCTATAAAGAGTGCTTCTATTCATTTCCCTTTTCTCCAGCTTCTTCCCAGATGCCGTGCCAAGGTTTGGGGTTGTCCCAGTCTGCAGGAGTGATTAGTTTACAACAGGCCTTTTCTGAACTCAGACAGAACCAAAACCAGTATGATGTGGGACCCAGCACAGCACCAGCCTTCATCCACTCCACCCATCCTCCTCTGTTCCCTGCTGTAGCCTTATTCTCTTCACAAAGCAGCACCGTTACACCCACTGTGGACTCCACTGCTGTAACTGTCCCTTTTAACTTAAAAGAGCAGGCCCTGGATGCCCCTGTGGCCCCTCTACCCTCATCCACTGCTCCCCCCTCTTTGCCCCCAGTCGATCTCAGTCCCCCTTCTTCATCATCTACTCCTCCTACTTTGTTAAATCAGTCCATCCTTCAGTCACAGACTCTGTCCCAACCACAGTGCCAGGGACAAGCACAGATTCAGCCCAAGGCCTTCATCCAGCCTCCGCCAGTTTCAGCTGTCACTGCTGCTTCTGCGGCTCCCACTTTACCAACAGCCAGCATCTCTAGTGTTCCCCCTGTAATGCTCACATCCCCGCCCTCCACTCATACTCTTCCCTTTGTATCTACACCTCCCTCCTCCACTCTTACAGCCAGTGTAGTCTCATCTGATGTGCTGTCAGTCTCTCCCACAGCCTCCCTGACTTGCTCCCTGTCCTCATCTGTCATTCCCACCACTGCTATCCCAGGTCCCCAGCTTGTTCCCTCAGTCCCTTCCCAACCTCCAGCCTCATCTGCTTCCCTCCCCTCTCTGGGACTCCAGCCAGTGACCACAAATGCCCCCTCAGTCCAACCAACTTTGGTCCACTCCCAGCCACAGACAGCCGCCCTGCCTGGACAGACGCACACACACTGTGGGGAATGTGACACAAGGTGAGGGATGGTCGACACTCATGAAATCCCAATACTCAGTGTGCAGTGAACAAAGGTTCACATCAGCTAATTGCCCAATTCAGTTAAAACATAGCTGTTGAGATGTTCACCCCATTTGAATAGGTCTGTGTTGCTTTGTTGACGTCCTGGAGTCGGGATGAGCAGATTAATTAAGTTCAGGACCACAGGAAAGAACATCTATAACAGATATAGAATGGTTTTCTCAGTGCCATTTTATTTCTTCTTATCTTGTAAATCACTGTGCTGTGTCTTAAATGACCTTTCATTGTGCTATATGTTGTTGTTCTCAGGAGTGAGACCTCCTCTGAGTCCCAAGGCAAGCCAGACGATATCCAGGCTCTGGACATGAAGCTGCGCTCTCTCTTCATGGACCTAGGTGGAGGGGTGGTGTCCCCTCAGGGGGACATCCTGGCTGTTGACATGGTGTCTGGAGCCCCCGTGGCAGGTACCTCATCCCCGGTAGGCTCTGGCTCTAGCTCCACCACAGCTGTCTCAGCACCTGGCTCCAGCCAGTCATCCAATCCTCCTCAGCCCCCCTCCAGCTTAGCGCTGGGCTCACTGGGGTCATCTGCTCCAATCCAGGGGCCTGGAACACCTGTCTCCACCCCCGCACAGACGGGTTAGTGGATTTATGCTTTTTTTTGTATGTGTGCCACTAGTATTTATTCTGTTTTTAAAGCTTTGCTTTCTAACTTTTTTAATTGAATTCCCCATAGTGATTCCTGCCTCTTCCTTAAGCCAGACCACTCCATCCAAAACTCCCTTATCCAGGGTACCGGTGAGTTTCCGCAGTTTCTCTTAACACAGAAATGCTTGGAGAGGTTAAAGTCCACTTAAGACTTGACAGCATTATGTATTTTAATATACGGTTAAACAGCATGTGCATGTTTAGGAAATAAACCACCAATCAAATTTACACTGTAACACCTGAAAGTTATTAACTCACCACTGAAATGGTTCAGGAGCAATGAGCTCAACCATGTTTCTACCACTATTCTTGCAACTCATCTAGCATGAAAATTTCTTGACACCCCCCATGATTTGCATCACTCTTGTAATTTCTTCTACAATCTTCTTCCGTTGTCTTCCTTTCTCCAATCCAACCTTCTTTCTCTGGGATCAGGCTACTTCTTCAGAACTCACGACATCCTTCCCAGGACCTAGTGTAATACAGGTGTTTTTTCCCATTTTTTAAGGCTCATGTGTCCTCTGCAATGCAGCAGTGTTCATGCTTACTATAATGGGCTTTGATTCTTTTTATATCAGCTTTTAGTTATATCTGGTTGACCTAATTTGGGAATGTGCTGTGTGTGTGTGAGTAGTGCTGCTGCTTCATTCCTCTCAGTCTCATTTACCGTGTTCTCTCTGAATAATTTAATACTCACACAGTGGACCTGACCACATGTGAGAAAACAAACAAGTGCAAAAAACATTCAAAACTAAACTAAACCACTGGGACGTTATGTGTCATATCTGCCATGAATATGTTTTTGCTTTTTGTTGAATAGATAGAGGGAAAAAATCTAAATAGAATAATTATGAATCATTGAATGTTTTGCAGATTTTTGTTTCCATTTTATGCAGATGAATAAAAAAGGGCATAGATTGAAAAATAGATTAAAGCTGACAGTACAGAGAGGGAGGCAGCAGTGAGATGGACTGAAGATCGAATGCTTCATGGCAGAGAGACACCGACTGTAGTTTCCAGACAGTGTTGTTGTGGCTGTGGATGCTGCACCCTAAAAATAGACTGTCCTCTAAACCAGAACAGCACGCTGAATAGCGAGACATGACTTACAGCACTTCCATGAAAAATCTGACCTGCCATGTCAGACACATTCATTTCCCATCCCTTTTGTAACTCTCCCAGGCGAGATTTGTCAAATTTGATTAAAATAGTCCTGCTGTCGTTGCTCACAAGGGATCTGATTTGGATGATGTATTTTTTAATCGAGGGTAAATCGCTCAGGAGAATGGAAGGCTTTGCACACCCTCAGTGTTTCCGTCTGTCCGCTGATGCATTAAAGTTAGGCGTCTGATACTTTGTTTTGTTTTCAGCAAGTATATTTTCATTTTTTACATAGATTCTAATTTGTAATACTTTTATTGAAATCTGAAATTGTGCAAATTGCTACTGATCCAAGATATTAAAAAATATGCGTGTAGTTGAAATAATTTGGGAAAGAAAAATACTAAACTGTAAATAGATGCTTTAAAAACAGTAAATATCAACAAGTAGTTTTGATCCTGCTCTTCTTTCTGAAGCCCCTACATTAAGGACCTTCCTTCTTTAAATACATATTGGCTTTAAGCTGACTTGTGCTTGTTTTGCTTGAAAATAACTATTAGTATGTTTAATGGCTGTGGCTTTTTTGCATGTTTCTTTATTACTTACTTATGGGAGTTTAACAGTTGTTCTGCCCATGCTTTCAGTCCCAGCAGCCTCTGGAGGATCTGGATGCCCAGTTGAGAAGAGCTCTGAGCCCTGAAACTGTTCCCGTGAGCTCACACACACAGGTAAACACACATTTATTGGCATTTTCTTATAGCATGTTGGTATTGGATTGTTCGATTTGGAATAATTAAACCAATCCAGTTGCTCAAGCTTTATTTTTTCTATACAAATTTCAGGCCTCTCACAGTAATTTGCCTTCAGTAGGACAACCAAGTATGTACCATCTATTTGCTAAACATTCAGCTCTGTGCCTTTTGTCTTTATCTATTTCGTAACATATTTATAACGTATCCTCCAGTTCCCTTCTCTCTGGATGAAGAAAAAGTGTCCTCTTTTTCTGCTCTTCCTGCATCTGGAATAAAATTAGGAAGATTTCAGGTGAATGCTCTTTGACAGTTATTGATATATTATTATTGCATCATTACGTAGTTCTCAGGCTGAGACTGATCCATCTGTTTTGCCTGCTCAGGTGTCGTTAGCTGCAGAGGAGCCCACTGTCCAACGCCTGGCATGCACCAAGCCCTCCTCCTCCACCACCTCCTCCACTTCATCGTCCTCCTCCAGCCTCTCCAGCCCAGAGAACACATTGCACAAAGACTTCTTATCTCCTCTGAGAGGAGAAGGGGGAGGACAAGGCAGGGATGTTGTGGATGGACTCTGTCCAAGGACTACTACAGGATCCCAACATGCCTCTCCTATCGCCTCCCCCTGCCCCTCCCCCAAGCCCACCACTACCATTGGACGCTTCCAGGTATTTGCTGACTATGTTTCGCCCACCTTTCACTGATTTTTTTTCCTCATCCAGTGTTTTTGTCTTTTATGTCAGGTCTCAACCAACACCGAGGCTCGTGTGGGTCGATTCTCAGTCAGCCGTGCCCAGGAGCAGAGCCCCGAGTCCCGGCAGAGCCCCCCACCTGCTGACCAGGCTGCTAATGGAACCAGTGATCCTGGCCAAGTTTTGACCCCAGACTCTCCTCATAAAGCCTCTTTACCAAGTCTCAACAACAACTCTTTCAACAATTCCTACATCAGCAGTGACAACGACTCAGAATTTGAGGATGAGGACTTCAAACGGGAAGTAAACCGCCTCAGAGAAAAGTGAGTCCTTTTTTTGAACGCCTCGTATTCTTTTATACAGTTAATCTCTTCAGAGAACAAGAATTTTTCTTCACTCTCATCTCTCTTTCTTTGCTTGTCTTTAAAAAGATCTATGTCAATTCATAGAAACATGAGCTCTTTTCCTCTCTCCCTTCTTGTCATCGAACCGATTGCTTTTTTTTCTTTAGTATTCTATAACTTATGTATGTTATTCCCTCCTTCAGGCACATGCGTGAAATTCAGGCCCTGCACTCCCGTCAGAAGGAAGAAATAGACCATCTGTTCACCAGACTGGGAAAAGTAATTCATCCAGATTATGAAAACAAATACCTGTACCTACACACAATCACACACAGGACAATACAGTCTCTCATCTCTGTGTTTGGTTTAGGTGCCTCCGGCAGCAGTGATCCCTCCCATACTACCCTCCAGTGGCAGAAGGCGACGACTGACCAAAAGCAAGTCAAAATCCTCCAGAACCAGCTCCACACACGGCAGCAAGAGTCCATTACCGCAAGGTGGGCTTGTGTTCAAACAAATCTAGTAAAAGCTCAATTTAATCCAAATTTCGAGTAAAACAGGCCTTTAATTGTAACAAAGCATCGAGATAAGTAATACGTATTAAATTAAAAGTCACAAGGACAGCCTAAAGGAAACAATTTATGTAATAAATAGAACTTTTTTTTTAACCGGTTGGACTAAATCCCTCAGTCCTGCATTCATGAATATAAACCTAACATGTAAGGTTAATGAGTAAAATATAAAAGTGTAATTCAACTATAACCACAACAATCACAAACATTTACTTTATTGCTACACTTCTCTGTGTTCATGCATTCATGTGCACGCGTGTGGATGTGTGTGTGCATTTGTTTGGTTGTATGTACCTGTGGTGTACGCTGGATCAGGCTCAGAGCTTGAAGATTTCTGACTGCTTTTCCTGTCTGTTTCTGTGTGCCTGTCTGTGTGAATGTCTCTGGTGGTGGTCTCTTTATCTGTTATCTCGGTGTTTGTATGTGTTTGCTTTCTGCCTGCCCCTGCCTTCTGCCCTCCTGCTGATGGCTTCTGCGAACTGCAGGCAGCACTTTATCCGCCCAGAGCGTCCCGACCATGTACCCCGGCCAGCTGGCCGTGCTGGCCCCCGGAGGACTGGCTGATTCAGGCAGCAGCTCGGTGCTCCAGCCCCTCAAACCTTCCCCGTCCAGCGACAACCTGTGCTCGGCCTACACCAGCGAGGCAGCTCTGTCTGTGCCCAGCCTGTGTGCTCCGACCCCAGGTAAACTGTGACCTCCAGTCTGCAGCGGGCCTCTTTTCATGACTTACACAAGTGGCTCGTTGCGTGCTTTGCATGCAGACTCGTACAATAGCATGCAGGTTCGTCTTGGTTTCATCACCAGAAGAACTTTAGTCGTCCTCGATCAGTTTTCATGCTCAGTGTAACACATTGTGATGACTTACTCACAGTTAACATCCTGTCTGTGTACTCTTCAACTCTTTTCTCTTTCTCTCACCTCTTCCTTCTGGCCTCTTATCGTGTCTGTTCCATCCTTTCTGTTCCTTGTTTTCTCTTTTATGGCCCTCACGTCTTTCTCCAACTCTCTTCACTTCTCTTCCATCCTCCTCTCTCCTCATGCCCTCTCTCTTCCTTCCCATTCCCTCCTCTGTCTCTTCAGGCTGTGTAAAGTTCAGCTGGGGTTCGGAGCGTTTGGCCTTCAAGCCGGGCGGCAGGAGGACACGCTTTCTGAGTACGCCCTGCTTGGCTCTTTGTGTGTAACGCTTTATTTCTTTGCTCTTCTCTTTTATCCTTACTTACCCTTAGTTCTGTCGTTTTTACAATTGCTATTTATATCAGTCAGGTCATGGTCAGTCTGTCTTCCTGTGGGCTTTCTTTTTTGATGAAGGAATATCCTTTTGTTGTTTATTTCATAAGTGTCTTCAGAGATTTTATTTAACTTTCAGAAAATACAGGAAGATGTGTTTTTGTCGCAGGGAAACCACTTCCTGTCATAGAGAAGAGTGGAACTGCCCTCGACTGCTTTTTACTGTACAAGTTCTTTTTCAGTCATACTTATTGTGCACATTGCAGAAACGCACAAAAACTAAAACTTTCTCGGCTCTGAGGAAAATAATAAATTAGTCTAATAAATGTGTTGATAGGAGGTACATTTACCAAACCAGGAGCAGATCCAGACCCTTTAGACCCCTGAACGAAGGCACATCCTGTTTCTCATAGATATACATTACCATGAACCTGCTTTTCGAGCTAAAAAAGATTATTAAAATGCTTACCGGTAATTTAGATTTTAAAAGTGTTTTCCTTAAAAATTCTTCAGTCTGCTTTGATGGGTAAATTCCCTGCTTTAACATGAGTGTCATAAGACTTCATGCGTCAGTTTTATCCATTCAAACTGGGGTTTTTTGTGGTTTTATTTTGGATTCCTTCCAGGTGGGAGGTCGAGGTAGAATTTAAGTTCCTCCAGTGGACTGAGAACAACACGGATCAGCACCAAATTTTGTTTTCATTTATTTGTCTTGAATTCCATTCAAATTTACATGCAAATCAAGTGCTGACTTTCATTTCTGCCCACAGTTTACTTATCAGTGTAGTCACATCTTAAGTAAATAATATAAAAGCCTGTGCCTTAAAGACACGCAGCAACACATCAGAGCTTCGTATCATCCGTATCTTTCAACCACTTCTCTTCCTTTCACTGATCTGAGAATACGGTGTATCAAAACATTAAGTGTATCAAGAAGCCTTAGAATTCAGTGGATAATAGTTATTTGACTATTTGAAGTTGCTTGTAATCTTTTTGATATCATAGAGTTTTGATCTGGTAACGAACATGATCACAGGCAGTCTAAAACTACAGAACCAACAGCAGAGCAGCTGCTTTGTTAGAAAGTAAACAGAAGAGCAGCTGGTGTTTCTGTTGACTGGAACTTGACAAAGTCATGCTGATGTAATAAAGCCAGTCAGTTTTTTTCAATCATGCCATTAGCCATCATGATCTGATTTGAAGCTGCACTCGAGCTTTGTGCAACTTTAGCTTTCCGCACGGTGGAAGGACAGATGATGGCTGGAAGCCTGTGCAGCCATTCACCCGAAACCTCGGTGCTTCTACTCTAAATACCCGTTCCAGAGGCTCAGTGATCATTTGCTTAATTCAAAACTGGTTCTGAGTCATTCCACTGATGCTGCCTGATGACTCTTAAGATACTAGCATAGACTAGCAGCATAGCATACACACTCCACAGGCTTCATGGTTAGTGCCTCTATTTGACTCTATTTCTAATCTGTGTCTGGAACAAGCAGGAAATTTAGACTTGATGACTTATATTTTCTGTCACTTGTTTTTTTTGTCGTCAAAAAGAATGTATTGTTTTCTTTTAGTTAATAATTGTGTCACATTTTTTAGTTGTAATTTTATGGTATTGAGTTTATAGTTTTCCAAAGCCTCTCTTGATCGTAATCTGTAGTGTTGAAATTGTTTTTGCTCGATGAAGGTATGTTTATGAATGCTTCTGAACCCTCTGCAGCTCAAACCCTTTCTCTCCCTTCCTTCTATCCCTTTGCCATCACAGTCCTCGCCCCACGATCCCTCCCACCCACCTATGCCCCCATCACTGCACCTCCAGGAGGGGAGAGAGACAGACCTGGGTCTAAGTAACTGATCAATGCTCCTTGTAAGATAGCTTAGAGAGAAAGTCACAAGAAATTGGCATGGAATTTGAAGCATTTTGTTTTGACAAACATAATTGAGACTATCTGACATGGTGGCAGCCGTGTTGAGTAAGAATACTTGCTTTGTTGGACCCAGATCTGGTACAGCGCTGTGAGCTGTAAAGAGGACTCAGAATCACATCAGAACTTGCCGTCGGTTGTCCAAAAGCATCTTAAAGCTACAGTCACAAAATAGTTTTTTATGCTAATTGAACAGTTTATTGAACTTGCAGCTGACAAATCAAACATGCAACCTGAAAATAAGCCAGATTCTTGTTTGCACATTCTGACTAGAGCAGATGATCTGCAACCTCCTGTCCATGTTGACTGGGTCACTTTGTGCCATGTGACAGGTTTTAAGATGTTGTTGGTCAGCCCAACTTTACTGGCTACTTCCAATTCTAACACACTGAGATGCACTGTGTTTGGTTGTCGGGTGATGTGGGCGGGGCTTAACTCTGACTCTCTCCCAATCCTCCAACTGTTGTCTTCCGGCCACACAGGGAAGATGGTGAAAAAAGTCTGCCCCTGCAACCAGCTCTGTAGTAACTATCACTCTTTTTGGTCTTTCCTCCCTCCATCTGCCCCCCCCCTCGCTTGCTCTCCCACGCTTCCTCCTGCCCTGTGTAGTTCAGTTTGACCCTCAGCCAGAATTAGGTTCAGTTCAGTTATTTTCAGCTCCTGTCTTTGAAAGGAACGGTGAAGTTTTAGTTTGACATTTATAGGGAAGATTTTTTCCTTTGTTTGTTTTGTTTGTTTTTCCAAGTACCAGCTTAGAGTTTGAGAACTGAAATGACTGAAGTGACCCTCATCCCACATTCAAACTGACACTGCATGTACATGCAAGCTCTCCATCTGTTAACACACACACACACATGAATACGTGATCACACACCTGAGCAGTTGTTTGCCACCTTCCCTCTCCTCTACCTCCATTATGGCGTGTGGTCTCTGGACTACGTTGACCAGAATGCTGCTGCAGTCAGTCGTGACTCAGCGTCTCATTCTTTCTTTCTTTTTTTTCCCTCCATTTTGTTTAGCATGAATTGACTGTTTTTGTCAGACGAAGTGTACAGTTGTACCACCCTGGGTAACCTTTGCATATCGTTTCCCATCTCATGTTTTATATAAACAGATTATGCAAATAGTGCTCATTCTGCTGGCATGGCCCTGGGTTAATTCGTTTTAGATCAGGGGGCATCAGCTCAATGGAGATTATTCACCTACAGGGAAAACATGAAGAGGAATTTACTGCATACGATAGGACTATGTAATAAGGAATAAGTAATGGTAGATTCTTTGGAATAAAATTAATATCATGGGGCATTTTCTTGCAGAATTAAAGAACGTTATCTCAGTGATGGTTTTAAAACGAATAATCTAAAAGTTCACCTGCAGACTGAGTGAAAAAAAAGCTGAACGAAGCCGTCCTTCGTTCACATGTCAGTGTGAAGTGACCTCATCTCCTCTTCTCTCATAAATCTGGATAAGTCTTGTGTTACGCTGAGGTGATGGCACGTGTATGGCGTAATATGAATTCTCTGACTCTCCGTAGACCTGCTGGGAGCCTGGCCAGTTTGCAGTAATGCATTGTGGTGCCGTGTTTGCTGTGACTACTCAGATACAGGGGGCCGGCAAGAAGCTAAGCCCCCGCTGTTATAGAGCTTGAGTGCCCCCTAATGGATTCAAATGGAGTTAAAAGTTTGAAATAGATGGTACACATGGCAACACACAGCGGCTGCTGTCGTACCTGAATTAAACAAAGGAAAAAGATTACTCAGAGTGCATTTGATCAGGTTCTGTATTAAATCATGGTTAAAATGATGTACATCCTCTTTTATTTCTAAGATATTACCGGTAATTATTTATCTTAATTTGAAGTTACTTTCCCTCATTTTCAGACCTGCTAAGGATCAGATATTTGTTGTTTTCCCCATTATGTTGTGAAACATGGAACCATTGAACTGGAAGAGGATGTTCGTTCTTTTAAGTATCCATCCATGTGTTCATATCAAGTCTGGATGTAGTTACTTTCTACAAATCCTAAATGACATCATCCTGCTCTTAACTGTCATTGTTTCCATCTTTAGAGCTAAACAATTCAATCCTTTTATCATGTCTACATGGCAACCCGCTCTTAAACTCCAACTTGACCGACTCTGTGTGTCCTTTTCGTGGTCAAGACAGAACCTGCATCCACCCCCATTCATATAACACCTTTTTCCTCTTGAGCCTCAAACACTGTCTCACATGGGTTGCTCTTCTCTCCCCCCACCCCCCCACCCCCCCTTTGTACCCACCTCTCCGCAGGGACTAATAGCACCAATGCCGTGAGCAGTTCAGGAGGTCTGGGTCAAAGCCAGGGCGGATCTCAGTGTCTGGCCCCCAACATGTCAGCCCCCCACCAGAGGAAAGGAACGTTCACAGACGACCTCCATAAACTGGTGGACAACTGGGCCCGGGACGCCATGAACCTCTCACAGGTTGGCTGGCTTACTATCATCCAAACAGCAGATGTTGGGACAAAACAATCTGGATTCAGCTTTGACTTCAGTTAATGTACCGGAAAAGAGGAGAAACGGAAAATAATCTAAACTTTCAAAGAATCTGAGCTTAGTGATTTGTTTCCTATGTCTATATTTTATTTTTAACAGTGAATCAGATAAATGTGAATAATTATTCTGTTGTGAGAGTTGGTGTTGTGAACCTAATGTAGAGCTTTATTTTAGGGTAAGAGAAGTGCCAAACAGCCGCAGCAGCAGCAGACCCCAGCACAGGGACACAGCTATGAGGTCGGTGGAAACCCCCACCCTGATTTTACGGCACTTCATGCCACCAATCAAGCCGTTGATTAATAAAGTGTTTGGGTTTGAATTGCCTCCTACCCCTGCAGATCGTCCAGTCAGCAAGTATCGGCAGGAAGTTCTCCGCTCCCAGCCAGTTATGTCCCAGCAGCATTGGAGGCTCCACCCACCTCCCTGCAAACCCCACCACCGCTACCTCTCTGGCAGCTCGCAAGGGCTCCCTGTGCCACCCGCCCTCCTCCTCCACTCCACCCCAGCTCCAGCCACCCCAGTTCATCCACTACCCTCCTACCGCCGCATACAGCGCCCAGTGGTCCGGTCCGGCCCACACTCTGCCAAACCCTCACCAGGCACCCACACAACCTCTGCTGGTCAGCACCTCTCAGCCCCTGGGCCCCTATCCCGCCCCACAGGGCCAGATTCCAGGGCAGGGCCCTCTGCAGGCTTTCCATCTGACCAACACGCTGCAGAAGTCAGTGAGCAACCCTGGAGGGCCTAACTTGAGGACCACATAGGGCAGGGGCCGAGGATCTCAGCCCAGCTGGACAAGGTGGATCGTTTTGGGACAGGAGCGAACCAAGGAAAGTGACAGGGGGTGCAGAGCAGGGATATCAAAAGGTTGGGAGCTGATGTGTTCATGAGGTGGAAGGACACGAGGTGGGGCCATCTCCACTCCACCTCCATTAGTGTGTTGTGGCAGACACACACTGCCTCTCTGCTGTGACAGCCAAACGATCAACTTAAAGGAAGAGACTAGTGTGCAATGCTGAAAGGCCAAAGAGGCTCTGGCCGGGTCGGGACTGGTGTCAATAACTGTGTGAGGGCTCCTACCGCCGGGGCGCGTCTGATCCGGGGTCATGTTTGCTATAACTTTACGAGGTCGGCACACAGCTAGGGCGCATGTGGGTTTGCTGAATGCGGGGGGGCGGACATTACATCAGGCCCAGGGAGAAGTCTAGAAAAAAAAATCCCATTTTCCAAGACGATAAGAAGATTCAACGCAGTTATTGTTTAAATTTGAGGATTGCTGCGGAGGCAGTGTATTTTGTGACAGGCGCCCCTAAACTTATTGATGACTACAAAACGTCACTTGCTGCAACAGTCAGGTGAGAGCTGAAAGCGGGTCCGAGTTTTAGCATCTGAACCATTAAAAGCACAAAATACAAACAAAAGCATGTGGAGGGCGTTCAGCCTGGCGCTCTTCGGGGCTGCGTTCTCTTTTTCGTTGAACTTTTCAAAAATCCGGGGAGAGGTGGAGAAAGAGAGCTAATAAGGAGCGCGTCTGTCTAAGATAAAACCTGGTCTGTTTACGTCCTCACCGCTCCCTTTAAATGGGCTGAGCAGCAGACGCCTGGACTCTCCAATCACCAGTCGGCCTCCTCTTTCATCCCTCTCTTCACCTCTTTGTTGTCATGTGAAGCAATAATAGCAGTAACCTTCAGAAGGAGAGAAGAAGCCCAAATACGAGAGACCTGTGTGGAAAGTGGCCTTGTTATCAGAAAAATATGAGTCCTTGTACAGTTTGTCAGCTACGATGATTCCATGTTGTTTATTTTTGCTTTTGTTTTGCTCGCTGACGCCCAGCTAGCATTCTGACACACATAAAATGCATGAGACATTCACACAGACACACACACACACACACACACACACAGAGTCATGCACAGACGTCTGATCACACCCACACATCATTAGAGGTGGAGCAGCAGTTTAACCCTCTTAGAATTTTGCCTCAGTTTTTAGTGTCATGACTAGATTGGTGTCAGCGTTTGGGGTGAAGTAATTGCAATGTACATTACTATCATCATTGTTGTTAATGATTATTATTCTATTTAAAAACAAAAACAAAAAATGTGTTCTGTCAATGGACCTGTTCTACGTGCACATCGCTGTACGATGTGGAGACACTGTGATTATTGTTGTTTATTATTAGCAAATGTTGTTGGACAACATTAGTTTTAGGGTGACACGTCACAAAAAAACGAGAAAAAAAAGCAAACTAAAGAGAGAGCAGTCCGGGGTCCTTTCCCTTTCACTTCAATGGATTTTCATCAAAATGTGAACACTGGTATCTCTCCCTGTCAGTACGCGTCCTGCCGCCCATTTACAGAGGACACACTTTGTAACCGATGCCTTACCAACAAGCAGCCAACTCAAGTCTCAGCTCATCTTCACCACCGGTTGAATTGAAAGTGGGAAATGACCCCCAAGCCTGAGTTTAAAGACTAACCTGAGTCAGCGGCAGGATAGTTGATATTTAGATACTAAAGTAAAGCTAGCTATTTTTTCTTAATACAGTACTTATATATCAGACACTTTAAACAGCCCTCGTCCTGGTCCCCTGCTGCCCTGGTTTGGTTAGATGAATGTGAATGTATAAACCAATGGTGTCCATTTTAATGTACTTGAAAAAAAAAACTTTTATGTTCACTGTCCTGGCTTGTCCTGACCCTCTCTTAGAGACTCCGGTTAAAACTGGGGGTACTTATAGTGCCTTGCATCCTTTCTGTTACTTCCCTGAGGGTTGAGGACTTGGGTTGAAGTGTGAGAGTATTTTAGAAGGTGGGGGCTTCGTAGTCCGTCGGAATGGTTGGGTGTGTTCAGAGGAGATGTTTGTGTGTGTGTGTAAATGGGTGTGTGTGTGTGTGGTTAATTCCGATGAGTGTATTTTCTGAAAAACTGCAAACCGTTGAATGTTTCTCCTGATGTGGGAGGAAAAAAAAGATGAACCCTAGAATAACCGAGGGTAAATCCACCAAAAGGCCACCTTTTGTCGTCAGTGTTGTTTGTATTGCTGCGTTTTTTTCTCAGTTTTAAGGAGGCGGTTGTTGAAGATTGTATTTGAAGCTTGGACCACTCTGTACTTAAGAGGCTCTGACCCAGGTGCAGCACAGAGGGGGGTTCGTCCAAATGAGGCAGACCACGCACCAAAACTCACCATTTTATTAGTTTTCTTTGGGGTTTTTTTTTTTATTCAATTCACTTTCAATTGATTCATTTCAAATTTGTTTGCCAAAAATTAAAATGTTCAATCTGATTTAGTGTTCTGCATTGATCCACTGCGACAAACGGGAACTCCATCTGAGAGGCCGATACTTCGTCCCTCACTGGTTCCATCAAAAAGAGGCGAGTGTAGCTTATGTAGATGATCGGAATTTTACCACAGAGACTCTGGACTTTCTCATTTGAAACAATCTTCATAAACTATTGCATAAAGTAGTGTTTGCATGAGCTAACCTTTCAGAAGAAGAAGCTTTCACAGTTGTTTGAATAGTCGGTGGTGGAGATAACTGAAAGCACAGCGGTGGTTTAGAGTGGAACTTCACATCCCAGACCTTTGACGCCCTCTCCTGTTCTCCCTCTTTTGGCCTGAGCAGCTGGTACAAAGCCCACCTAGAAGCCTGGCCTCTGTTTCTCGCTTTCGCCTAAAAGAGGAAAAAAAAAAAAACCTTTGCGGGGTTTGTTTTTACGGTGTTTTATGCATCTCTAAAGACTAACGTTGGCGCGTGGCAGGTTTGGCTGAAGCTGTGAATAATCCCTTCCCACACAGTGCCATCCTCTAGTGATTTCCCGGGATGAAGTTAGGTCTTTTTTTGATCGGGTTTGCCGTGTCTCTACCGTAGAGGAGCAGTGACAGACCTGCTGTGCTTGCTGCGCCATGGCGCCGTGCGGGCTGTCAGGGTGCTCCGGAGGGCCGGGAGAGGCCTCGGCCGGAGGAGCTGGGAGCAGTTCCTGTGAAGCTGTAGCCTCGTAGCGGAGGACTCCTCACTGTGAACGGTTCGGGGAGCTTTTCCGGAGAATGGCAGGAGTTACATTAACCCACATGCATCAGATCAGCTCCCGCCTCTCCTTCATGCTTTCTCCTGTAAAAGTTCCCGCGTGATGAACAGAGAGAAAGCCTTTGACAGATTACCACACGAGCACGTGCCGTTATGCGCCTCTTTGCTTTTTTTTCTGGGGAAAGATGTAAAAGCATTCTTTTTTTCTGCTCACACGTTCCTTTTTTTTTTTTAAAGACTCGCTTGTTTTATGTGCCGTTTTAAAGTCTGACAGCACCTAATTTAATTCATGTGTTTCTTCTCCTGTATTGTGTTGAATTCTGTGCAAATGAATGAATGAATGAATGAATGAAAGGAAGGAAGGAAGGACGATGAAATAAAGGTGTTGGGAGTCATCGGCAGCATTTAGCGGTATGTTTTGCACTAAGTATAGAGTGTTCAAGCTTCATATAAAATAAAAACAAACAAAACTGTGCGCTTTGCGCTACAATACAATGAGATTTGTTACTTTATTTGTAAAACTTAATAAATAAAAGTTGTTTAAATGAAACCAAGAAGTGAGTTTTATTCAGGATTTGGGGCTGCGGTGAGGAGAATCTGAAAGTACTGGTGTTTCTTTGTTTTTTTTGTGTCTGTGTATCAAGGTTTGTGTCAGTTCTGAACTGTGGAGGATTTTGGAGCAGCAGCTGCATTAAAATGAACCCAAAAACAGAATAAACATGTCTACCGCTTTACATTTAGAACAGTTTTGATAATATGTTCGTTGTTAGGATTAGAAAGTTATAGTTTTTAGTTAGTTTTTTTCACTCAGAAATGAAAAAGCATTTTAGAATATCATTTTATATAATGATTATGGTAAAAAAAAAAAAAAAATTATGAATAATACCTGCGTTAAACTCTGACTGCTGGGTAATCTGTGAAATAGTGTGAGGTGTGTCTAGTTTAGATTGGAGAGCTCTGACAGCCTATCAGACGTCTCGTTACAGGCAGGATGCCGGCACACCTGTTGTCAATCTGCTGATTGCTAATGAGGAGTTCAGACCCATCGTGAAACTGGAGGATCAGCTTATTTTGGCCAGAATATACATTTTTTTTCCCCTTTTGTCATCTCTGTTGAATGGATAGCATCAGAGGGACGACGCAGTCGGCGGGACCGGTGAGTGGGAGTGAGAGTGGGAATGGGAGTGGGACTGGGCCTGGGCCTGCAGTGCTCTCGGTCTCCACATGGCTCCACCACTTCACCTGGTCAGCAGGAGAGTCTGCAGGATTCACAGAGGAGAGCTGCTTCCTGTTATCCAGACCATAAAACAGCTTCTTGCCTCGAATGTAAGCAGGAAACAGCTCGTTGTGAGGTGTGAATCTGTGCTTATCATCCGTCACCATGGATACAATGAAAAGAACTTGGCTGGCCCAGAGAAACGGAGGCCCAAGGAAGGAAGGGAAGGAAGGAAAACGAGACTTACTGCGACATTATAACAATAAATATCCATCAGGCGGTTTTCCTGCTATGATATGAAACTGCTCTGCATAAAATGGGACTCTGTACTTTGGAATTAGCCTTTTTCCACTTTGTTCCAGAAGGCATTCCTGTCTGTTTTCACCTACATGTCCGGCCAATGAGAAGTGCTGGATCAAGCTATGAACATTCAATCAGTTAATAAAATCAGAAACAGAGTCAAACTGGATATGCAATAGATTACAGGGTCTTAGAGGCACTGATCATATGAATTTGCTTCCACTTCAACACAATTAAGCCAATAGGTTCTACTTCTGGAGTGGATGTGGATTTTGTTTTGCTCTTTTAGATATAGCCCACTGAAATGTGATGGAAAATATTTGGGTGTTGAAATGTCTTCCACCTGAAACGCAGGAAAATACTTCAGGAAAGATTCAAATCTGCTCACTAGACAAAAGAATTTGAAGATACTTCTTTTAGCAAGAACAGAGAACAAATAGGCACTCTGTGACATTTGCTAGATTTAATGTAATGTATCCATTGAGGCCCAACAGAAGATTAAATTATGGAATTAAAGAAGTCATCCCTCAAGTCCCTCAGACAGAAAGACTTTCATCAGATAACATGAGACAGAGAGGAAGCTGAAAACAAACCTAAAATAGGATGTTCAAGGTTTGGTAGCTGCTGGGAATGTTCCTCTGTCCGTCCTGACTCTGCATCACCTCCTCCCCTCTGGGCTATTCTGTCTTCCTACAATTAACAAAGAAGAGGAGTGAAACTTGAAGGAGCTGAAGTAGCTCTTTAGTGACGCCTTTATTCACACTCCCACATCTTCCCATCAACCTGTTCTTAGGACATGGACTTAAACCAGCCCAGTCCACACAGAAATGACTCTTTTTCAGACCAAGCCTTCATTTAACCTCAAAACACAATGATTGTTTTTTTAGATTCATGTGTCCACACAGAGGTTATGTTGTACCCTGACATTTCTGGAGTATGTTAACCGTTCTATAGCATGATAGGCTGACTCTGCAGAAATGTGAGCTATCTCCCAGCTAACCTTCATAGTTATCTCAACCTCAATAGGACATGTTCTGCAAAGTGTTTCATAAACTACGAAATGCATATGAATGAAGGCAGCTGACAGATATAACAATAAAACACGACAACAAGTCCAATAAAACGGGACATAAACTAAAATTGTAAAAAGGAAGAAAAACTAATGAAACATTAAGACCGTGCTTTCAGTCTTTGAGATGTCTGTCGATTCAAATTTAACACAGACAGAGTGAAGGATAAGATAAATATCTTGCATAACTTTTTCTGTTTACTGTTTGGGGTGTCTGCCTGTGCCGGTTTACTAAACACTGATCGTGCCTGTCTTTGTTTCAACCTAATTCCTCCTCGCTTCATGTCTGTGACGGCAGAGCAACAGAAGAGGGACTAAACACACACTTTCCACACAGTAAAGATCTCGCTCTGTCTTCAGCGAGGTTTTGGTCCACTGTGGGGTCACTGAATGGTTCAAGGATAGAAGTGACATTGATAAGATAAACTGTGACGAATATCCATGAGGGCTAGCCTAAAAAATGTCATAGTCAAATTGGAGATGAACTTTTTCCTCCTCAAAATGTTAGGTTGTGCAAGATGTTTATCCATCGGCTGCCTAATTGATCTTCAAACAACCACTTTACATAATCTACTCAAGATTATCATCAATTAGGGTACCTGCAATGATATTATTAGTTTATTATGCAATGTAATACAATATTTTGCAGCTCATTGTTCAAATATGGAGAGATAAAAATCAGAAAAAACATGGATATTCTTGAGTTAAAGCTGACTCTCCTGGATTGTAATCCCAACCCATGTTTCCTCAGTCTTTCCTCAGTTCTATTCAACAGCTGGGAGATGCTCACTTCTACAGCAGAGACCTTATTGCTGGCTGTTTGTGTTCAGTTCAGCTCTGCACTGACCAAGCCGCCTCCCTTTTTCCCCTCTGTTGTTTCTTCCTGGTTTACTCGCCAATCACTTTTGTCTGCAGGTGACCTTCAGCGGCCCTCGGACGGGGGGCCGGGCCTCCCGGCTGGAGCCTGGATGGGGGGGGGCTGGCCCGGGACGCTGCTGGAGCGGAGCGCCACACCGGCCCGTATCAGGGCAGGAACAGGTCTGTGCTGACTGGGACCCGGCGCCGGTGGAGGCAGGTGGAGGTCGGGACCTTTTTCCACACGTTTAAAGGACAATTTTCTTAGTCAAATGCAATAATTTGGATCAAGCTGAATATCTGGGAACGGTTATTTATTTAAGGGAAATTATTTGATTTTGCCGCTAATTTTAAAGAATGACGCACGGTTTAATTCGAAAAGTGCCTGTGTGCTCCAGCTTTTCTGAACGTGAGCTCTTTATGCCAGTCAGAAGGACAGGTGACAGAAAAAAAGAAGCCATCACACGGGTTTAGGCCCTCCTCCTCCTCAAACGATGATCTCTGTTTGCAGTAGAAACAACATGCAGGAAGCTCTTGGAGGGCACACTCACCTGAGAGCTTTCTCTGTACGGCCTGCCAGAGGAAATGACTGGGGGGGGGGGGGTATTTTTTCCACTTTGATTGTTTTAGAGCATTTGGTTTAAATTGTGAATGTAATGTAGCATGTGAAAAATACATGTTGGTATTCAAAAAAACTTCAATAGTTTTTTGTTTTTTTTTTAAATACCATTTCTATGGTTTCATTAAGAAATGTAACCTTAAGCTGCAAGAATCTTAAATTGCTCCCATTAAAATCCACCTCAGTGCTCTGCGGAGCTTTGGCAGTCATAAACCATATCAGCCTCAGATTGTGATAAACACAAAAGCAGCTTTACTGGCCCTTAAGTGGAGGATGAGATGGATATTGGAATAAAAGTCCGTTCCTTTGACCTTTGGTTTTATGCCTGTTTTCTTATCTCGGTTTAGAGTTTAGCCAAACATTTCAGTCAGAAGAATCTGTTTAATAACAGCCAAAATATTTCAGAGTTAACTGTGAAGAATAACTCATTTCTAAATGGGAGTTGACATCATTATGGGGCTTTCAAGTGCAGATATACATTCCAGGTTCACCTCTGTGACCATTTTCTGTATTTCTGAGATCCAGCTGGTGGGAGGATTTTGGTCAACTCTCTAACTATCCCATCAAAAACGGATATATCTGCCTGGTCTCTCTGCTGCCTGTACCTGAATGTGTTTGAAATAATCCGGAAGACTGCGTGAACTCCGGGCTGGCTGTGATTTTTTTCCAGGGGCTTGGTTCTCAGCGTGCAGACACAGACTCAGTCTGGCCTTGACCAGTGGACTCTGCTGTTGTAAACCTGTTCCTTATTACCCACAGGGGGAGGGCGGGGCCGGCTTCAGGGCTGCTATTTTTTGCCCATCGTGTGCAAATTTGAGATTGTGATCGGTCTGCAGCCTCTGCTGTGACCGGTCCAGCTCTGTGGTCACTGCAGCCTCCTGACCATCAGACTGGGGTTCTGCTCAAGGGCCCAAACCTATCGTCCAGTCCTCAAAGGTGGCTCCAAACTCCCAGTGCTCAGATGCTCTCGGACAGCCTGGCAGCCTGTCTGAGGGCAGTAAAAGCACTCAGCGTAATGTCCCGTGTTTTAGTGCTGGACACTGGACCCCGGCGTCAACAGCAGGCTGCTGACCAGGCTGTCTCTAATCTGCAATAAAAGGCGGCGTACAGGCCCTCAAAGGCAGCTCTTTACCTCCGACGAACACGGTTCAGCTACTGAGAAGATTAGAGGTTTTTCACAGGAATTCTTAGATTCAAACATCAATTTGTGTGATTTTGGTCAACGCTGGGGAAAATGGAGTTTCTATTAAATATTTTGATCCGTGTCGCTGGGTCAAATGCAGAGGTGCTTTGCCTTCATGCAATTCTGGCAATTTCCCAACTTGGGATAAATGAAGTATATCTATCTATCTGTTTCCTGGTGTGACTGCTGTGTGCTGTAACTGCATCCCTGTTGATCCACAACAGCCCTCTGCAGATTGGCTAACAGGTCAAAGCCAGCTGTACAGGAAAGTGAAAAATACCTCCATTTATCTGCTCAGTGCTTTTGGAATTTGCTGGATTTCAGCCCTCAGATTTTCCATCGAACTGCTGCACATTGTCTAAATACTCCCAAAAAGTCTGTGATGGGCTGTTTTCATTCAGTTCCCTCTGGAACCTGTCCTCCGTTTCTGCCCCTCAGCATAACCTCCGAAGATCGAAGCTCCTTTTTTTTTTATTCCAGTGGGGTTATCAAGACTGTTTGATTGTTGGACAGCAGCCCGAACCCTGGAGTGAGGATGTCTTCCAAAGGTTAGCTGTCTCCCACCCGCGCTCACACACCTGCGCTCACACGCCGCCTCTCACGTTTCGCACTTCCTCCCCCCCCTCTCTCTCTCTCTCTCTCTCTCTGTTTCTCTCTGTCTCTCGGACAGTCTGCGCTGACAGCTCGCAGCTCACGGGAGTCGGGCTTTCTCAGCCCACCGTGCGCATCTTTGACGCGCTCGGATCTTTGCGCGTGGGGCCCAGGCGGTGGGCTCCATCCCTCGCGCTCACCCCGGGGGATCATTTTGCGGCTTTTGTTGCACGATTTCCACTCGGAGAACAAGCCCGCTGCGAAAGGGAGCAGATACCGGCTGAAAAGTGAGTAAAACAAACGGCCCGAAGAAGTTTTCCTCTTTAGCGGTTCCTGGGTGGCTCTCGCTTTAGTTTCTACTCATAAAAAGAGTCGCGACGCTGAGCAGTCCAGATCAAACTGCTGTGGAGCACATTAGTGCCACACAGAGACAAACCTGCTGCTCTGAAAGTGTGTGAGTCACAACAGGAAAGTTTTTAGGAAAAGCACTCGCACACATCACGTTTTTTTTTTTCATTTTTCTTTCTTTCTTTTTTTTTTTTTTTTTTTTTGAAGAGACGCGACCTCCAGCCTGCGGTTTCTGCTGGTGCTGCAGACGAACCTGCAGAGGCAAACAGACCTTTATTTTAGCGCATGTCTGGTGCAGGGTTGTAATTTCCCTGTTGTGTTGCCAGCATGCATGCATGCATGTGTGTGTGTGTGTGTGTGTGTGAGTGTGTGTGTGTGTATGAGAGAGAATGTGTGTGTGCTTTCCCAGTTGAAGGAGATTAAGGGTGTTAATTTTCAGCTGCACAGACCCTGATATCTATTTACAATGTACACTGTCTGCTGCTGGGCAATCTGAGTCCGGGAGAAGTGGATTTGAAAAGAGAAGAATCTGGTTTAAAATGGGGAGGAGGTCACTAGTTTTATTCTCTGTTCTACACATGAGAGCTGGAACAGCAACGCCTTCAGGCTCCTATAACCAGCAGGCACTTATGTACCCAACTTCCAGATGAGACTGGGGGGAAAACGTTTTAATGTCCCACAAAGTGTAATTAAGCTTTTTTTAAAAATCATTTTTAAATGTGCATATTTTAGTTTGTCAAATCTTAAATACTAAGCCGATAACACAAAGAAGTTAAATCCTATATTTATGGTCCTGTGTGGGTCCTTCTGGGTGCTTTTGCTGCCTCCTGAAAAAAAAGTTGTGGAGTAGAGTGGAGAGTGTGAGCCCCCTGATGGACTGGCTATCTGTCCGGCGTGTAACCCACCTCTTGCCCAATGACAGGTGGGATAAGTAGGGTCTACAATGGATGAATGAAATTTGGGGTCATGGAGCCAGAAAAGATTCTGGAGGACGTGGTTGACAGTGTTCTGGAGGACCGGAGAGGCAGGTTAAGTGGTGGAAAGGTAAGGGTGTCGGGACTGGGTATAAGAGGAGTATCCCGTGAAATATGTTATCCCTCTATGCTAGAATATGTGGAGTTGACTTAAACTGCCCGGGGCTAAAAGACTGCTCCATCCTGGGAGTCATGGTGCTTTCATGGGCGTTTGTGGTTCTGGGTGTCGTTGCTCACCAGAGCTTCAGTAATTCCATTCTGAGTTACTGTGAAAACCAGGTTGTTACTTTCAGCCGCACCGACCCAAAATATGTCCCTTTAGTGCTTTTGTTCATCACTTAAAACATAACAAACGTGAAACAACCACAGTTTACAGTTCAGATGAATAAGTTTACCTAACCCACAATGAGCCAGAGATAAAATGGTGGGTTATGGTTATGGTATTGACTTTTTTTAGAAAGGTGCCACTCCGGCCTCAAATCAGCTTCTCTGAGATTTGTTCTTTCTCTGCAAATGGAATAGCGTGAGATGGTGTTTTTTGGCATGCCAGCTCAAATGGACTGATATCAGGAGCTGGTTTGCATGGAGCAAAGTGAGCTAGAGGTCATGGTTCATATTGTACCAGTGGGAAATCACTGCTGCTCAGCCTGACAGTTGAACACTTAAAGTTATCACATAAACACACCAGGCACACATCCCAGTCCACCTGAGCCAAAGATGAAGGTTAGCAGCGTCTAAAGCTGGAGCTGGAACCCTGATGGCCGATGTGGGTCACAACAAAGCCTCAGTTTTACCTCGTCTGATTCACCCGCCGCGCGTCTTTCCACCAGCGTGTTTGTGTGCGTGTGCGAGCAAACGAGCTGGGGGCATTCGAGTTTGTGGCGGGATCAAATATCCGTCTCAACCACTTTACTGTAATTTGATTAGAATGCCGAGTCTTGTTAGTGAGACGCGAGTCTCTGTGAGGGTCAGTCATTTAACTTTGTGCCTCAGGGCTCCTCTGTGTCACTGTGGGAGTTCCAGAGTGCTGATATTTGTTGCTCTTTTATTATCATTGTCAGCCTGACCGTTGTTTTACAGCTATTGGGTTACGTTGATGCTTTGGAAGCCTCTTTCGTAGGGGAACGGTTTTCCTTTTTCCGTAATCGACGGCTGCTTTTAGCTGTGAAACATTTGACCTTTTGTCTCAAGTCAGGTCCTTTTTTTTTTTTTTTTTTTAAGGCACCTGATTTTCTCATCTGCTCTGCCTCATTGCTCCTGTCTTCAGATGCCGCGCCGCTGATGGAAGTTGCAGGCTGGTTTTTAGCTGTTTGTGAAGGCCAGAATGGAGCGAGAGGGCTCATTTAGGAGGTAAGACCACACACATGCAGGTTCAGCTCACATACTTACGCACGACTTTGCTCCACCTTATCTGGTGTACCGTCACTCCTCTGGCACAAACAAAGATGAATCAATTTGAAAAGTTCACACATTCACCCACATGCATTCCTGAATGAGCTCATTCATGCTTGCACTCATCCTCTTTTGTCCGGTAATTAGACTGCAGCTTCCCTGTTCATTTGGGGCCAGAGAGAAGCGGGTCATTTCCTGGTAGCGTCGGAACTCTTTTAAAAATGTGAAAAGTGAACGTTTTTCTCACCCCATCAGCAGAGGAATGTTATCTTGGTCCTGGTGGCTGCTCCATGAGAGTCTCTGAAGCTTAGGATTTTTTTGTTCCTACTCTAAATCATCCATTCTTCCTTTTTTGACCAAAGAGTTTGTTGCTTCGGTTCCAAAGTGAAAATCTTTGGCAACCGACTGTGTTGTGAACTGTTTGTGTGAGTGTGTGTGTGTCTCCAGGGCTCCTGTTTCTCACACTGACCTATTTATATGGAGCTGAACTTAGATCCAGGTTGAAGGGCTAGCAACACACACCTTTTTCTTCCCCAACCCATCATATTACGCAGCATATGTTGGAGTTTTCATTCATTCTTCATTCTTATTTTCCTACAAGCCTTTTTCCTTTTTCCAAATGAAGTGACCATGAAATAATGTAATTCAGTGCCATCGTTGGCCAGCATTACAAACTGAGAGGTCTTCAGAAAACACGTGGGAGCAGCTTGAGAACAGCCTCTCTCTCCTTTCGGCCCCACACACACACAGACAGAGAGGAAGAAGAAGTATAATGCGTGTCACCTTTAAAGCCTTCCCCTCCCTCTTGGCAGCCCTCACCTCAAAGGGATGCTTTGTTCGCCTGGCACAAAAGCTCACTGGGTCACATGACCACAGACTGGCACAGAATGGCAGACGGAGAAAGACAGAGGTAAAGAGGACAGTGAAGAGTAAAGTTGGGAGAATTTGAAAGCGGACGGAAGTAAACGGGAGCAGGGAGGAAGAGAAAGTCCTTTTTTCATCAGTGTGACTCACAAAGTCATGGAGTGGGGATTTGTGATACCCTTTCACATGCTCGAGTGAGTAAACATTGTTCATGTGTGTGGGGAGACAGTAAATGTCCTGGTCTTAAACTAAAATGATGACAAGGCATTTTATGTTCTGCTCTTTTTTTTTTTTTTGGAACCTGCAGTCTGGAATATTTGAAGCATTTTTTCTTTTTACTGCCCCAACTCTTCATTCCAACTCATCTTTCCCTGTTAGTGCCTGTTTCCATCTCTGTTGCAGTCTGCTTCTTACTCCTGTGTCTAATGTGTTAAATGCCACCAGCCTTCCTCTTTTTGAGCCTCTTCATACTTTCAAAGTTTTCTTGCACTTCTTACTCTGTTTTGTACTCCTAGCACCCATCTTTCCGCTCTAACCTTTAAAGCAGGGCAGCAACCAGCCTGTGTTAACATTAGGAGGGCCAAATAAAAAGCAATTATCCTGTAAATGCCAATGTTGCCAGTCATTAAATGGTTGGAATGTCAGTTCTGTAATGGTCATTTATTGAATTTCTTGCGAGTTGCTGTATTATTTCCTCCGTCAAATTTAGTTTCTGCTGTCATTGGCTGTGTGATTAGGTTGGCAGGGTAACGTTTCACACTTTCATAAACTCATATATAATACAAAAGAGGAACAGAATGCTTTTACACACGTCTGTATCATTTTTCCAAAACCTTTTATTCATGTGTTACAATATAATATTTTCCAAAGGATGCTACACCAGCGGACTGAAAGCAGGAATTTTTTTTCCTTGTACCATTTCTAAACAAGGTGAGCTTTTGAAAAACAGTTTTACAGAGCTGAGGTTGTTCTGGACCCACCTGTGGAGAAACCAGGCCTGTGTGCATCTCAGCGTCCTGGACAGTCTGTGTTTCAGGTTCTTGTTGAAGGCAACACATGTTGACAGTTCATTCCAACAGATGTTTCCTCAGATGCTCAGTGTGCTCTGACTCTTGTGTTCTGTATGTGGCTATATATTTTCTTTTTCTCTTTCTTCCTGTTGGATTTCAAGGAGCCTCCACAGTAAATTGAGGCTCGGCACCGGCTCGTCCTCCAGCCTGACCGACCTCTCCCAGGCCAAAGCCTCCGGCGGAGGGGAGAAAGGAGGCCCAGCTGGGGGTCTGGCGGAGGAGAGCAGCAGGGACAAAGGGACACAGCAGAGGAGAGCCGGTGCCAACGCCACCTGGAACAGGTGCGTGCAGTTTGTTTCTGTAGGAACGCTGACTCCCAGATAGACGAGAGAAAGCTCTATAGCAGCCCAATGGAAACAGAGGCTCTTCTGACACACAACAAACTAACAGAAATGCTCATCAGCATCAACTCTTCCTCCTCCAGGATATATCGCTGCTACTCTTCACCTCCATCCATCCCTCCTTTGTCTTTCTGCCTCACAGGCTCCTCTCGGCTTTGCTCGGCTTAACATAAATTGAAGTGAAATGTACAGAGTGGGATCTTGACTGTGTCTTAGCCTCCCTTTGTATAATCCAAACATTTAGTAAATGTTTGCATTGGAGCCGGGGGTCAAAATGTGTTGAAATGATACATGTGAACAAGTCTGAGTGCTGGAAGTCCCGTCTGTTGTCAGCTTTATAAGCAAAATTCACAAAAAGTGGACCAACCTTCAATTTTACTGTCTTTTGGATCAGGAAATTAGATGTTAAATGAGAAAAAGTCATCCGTTGCTTACCAGGTCCTATGATAATTTGACAATAAACCCAGATGAAGAACTACATCTGACGTATCGCTCGTGTAGTTTGTCGAGATTTAATCCAAAATGCAGAAACACACCTCAGGATTCAGAAGCCTGAGAAGCTGCTTTTAGCAGGAATAACCGGAACTGGCTTTCTCTAAAATGTCATCAGTCTCTCTCGTCTTTTTCAGGGGATTTTTCTCGACTCTTTGTTAAAGTTAGATTCTTTCTCAGCCACTCTGTTTTCTGTTTGCTTGTGTACATTATGAACATCAGCCCTCCTCCGCAGACGGCCGGGATGAGGGCGACTGCCTCGCCCTCTAACCTGTGGCTTGTTGCTCGTCTCTTTTCAAAACCCAGAGAGAACAAGTTGCTCTTATTCCTTTTGTCCTGTTAATCCTCAGAATTGAGGGGTGACGTTGCAAGATGACTTTTTAAAATCTTGGCCCTTAGAAATCCAGGACTCGCCTCACTGTCTGCAGATGTCGGTCTCAGGTAGTCTGTTGTTTTTCTAAACCGAACTTCTTTCCTACTTTTCCCAGCATCCATAATGCCGTCATCTCAGTTTTCCAAAGGAAGGAATTAGGAGAAAATGAACTCTACACTCTGAACGAAGGTGTAAGGTGAGTGCTCGCTCATGACTGTGCTTGACGGGGGTGTGTTTGAAGTGAGATTACTACGCTCTCCTCTTTGTCTTTTCTGAGGCTCACGATGAGCTGATCAGAGGGGAAACGATGGGCTGAGGTTAGCGAGGGGTCAGAGCGGTGTGTTTAGTGTTTACTCTCTGTGTTGCTGGGGGCAGTTTAGACAGGGCTGTCAAAACTGCATTGTGTAAATATCACAGCACACACACACACATACACCTACACTTACATACACACACACACGTTGTGTGTTGCTCTTTTTAGAGGAGACCCACCTAACATTGCTGGAGGTTGTGAATGCTGAGTTTAGAGCATCACGTCACGCAGAGGTGGCTGTTCCGGCTGACCATTGCCAACAGTGTGCACAACAGATCGGCTCATTTCCTGAGTCTGTCGCTGGTTAAACACTGTAGTTTGCACATTGAATCTCTCCTGGCTCACATTTTTATGAGGTGTCATTATTGATACACGTATCTCTTTAAACGTTTTTTTTCTTTTTTTTCCAGGCAGCTCCTGAAGACCGAGCTGGGCTCCTTCTTTACCGAGTACCTCCAGAATCAGCTGCTCACCAAAGGCATGGTCATACTGAGGGACAAGATTCGCTTTTATGAAGGTAAACAACTTAAAGAAAATGGCTCACACCGCCACTAAACAGCTGGTTTGTAACATAAACACGCCAAAAGTATTTTTAAGCAACGCATTCAGTTTGACAGCATCATGGAAACGATCCTACAGGGAAAATCCATTTCTTTATGTCATTTCCTCCTTTCTCAGCAGTATCAATTAATTGAATGCCCGTTTTATATGCAGCTGTTTTTTTTTCTTAATAATCTCTCTGCCTGTCTAAGGGGCTCTGTTAAATATCTATTTATTTATGTGGTTTAAAAGGACACAGAAACCTCAAATAGCAAAAACCTTCCTGGTTCCATGAGATCCGATGAGATTAATTATGATAAGATCTTAAAATAAAAGAGTTTGTGGATATTTACTTTAGGCAACGATGAAAACTATTTGCGCGAAACAAAAAGTTAGTTGTCTGAAACAGTGTTAAGTGTTTGGCATCTTGAGTGTTCAGAGGAAGTAATCTCCTTATTTAATGGAACAAACATGCAGAAATTATGTGCATTGGCCTCATTTTCTGCAAGACAAGAAGCCACTACAAGTGTGTTGAGATCCGAATTAGTACTATTTTTCACTATTATCAGCTATCAGTGTCTGGGGAAGTCCATGATCATTGTGTTTTTTTTTCTCTTTAAGTTTCAAGTACAGTCTAGCAGAGAAAAACAATAAGTGACTAAAATGTCCGATTCAGATATCAGCTTTAGAGTTAAGCTCATGAGTTAACCATTAGTTTTAGCTAGCAGGGCAAGGCTTTATCTCTCCAGCGTGACCTTCAGTGGAGGTCGTTCCAACACACACACACACACACACACACACATGCTAACACACACACTGGACGGAGGAGGCGAGAGCAGGGCTCAAAGAGGGAAGTGAATCTGCTCTCCCTGCTGTGGTAAATGTGTGACCTTTCTCTGAGCTACCTTTTCATAATGACAAAACGCTCACACACACACAAACTCCTCTGCGTATCCACCCGAACTGAGCGCGGCAGGTTTTCAGTGCCGTTGCCAGAGAAACCAGACAGGAAGCGATGTTTTACGTCAGTGTCACATCTAGACGAAGAGACATCTGAGATAAGAGAGACCGCAGAAACAGACAGCCGTTGTTTCGATTTTATCACAAAGTGTCCAAATATGAGCTCTGTGCAGCAGGTACAAGAGGTTTGCATTGGCGTCCGTGATGTTATCCTCACCAGAGGATAACTATAGATTTGTATCCTAAATGCAACAGAAGCTGGCATTTCCACCACTGGAACAAACTGTAAACGCATCATAGAATAGAACACTTTATTGATCCCACAGTGGGGAAATTTACATGAATAATAAGTAATAGTTAAGCAGCACAATAGAGAATTAAATGAATTCACTTCTGGGTTTTGCATCACAGGTCAGAGGTTGTTGGACTCTCTGGCAGACACCTGGGACTTCTTCTTCTGCGATGTTCTGACCATGCTGCTGGCCATCTTCTATCCTGTACAGGTATGTCCACACGCCTTCACATCCCCTCCCCAACAACAGACTGTGTGGACGCACATGAACGTGTGCCTGTTTCTGTTTTTGTGTGTGTGTGTGTGTGTGTGTGTGTGTGTGTGTGTGTATGTGCATCTTTAGGGAAAGGAGCCTTCAGTGCGTCAGTTGGCTCTCCTCCATTTTAGAAACATCATCACCCTTAACCTTAAACTGGATGAGGCGCTGTCTCGACCCCGAGCCAGAGTTCCTCCCTCTATCATACAAATGCTGCTAATACTACAGGTACACACACACACACACACACTCACACTTGCACACACACACACACACACACAGATACTGTTTCAGTAGTCTTCATTCAGCCCCTGACCCAGGGTCTGGACTGATGTTTGTGACTGATCTGGGGTGCAGAGGGGTTATGAGCGCTCCTCATCCATCCGGGGGAGCAGAGGGAAGCCACTGATGTTGAGCACAAACCCCACAGGAAGCAGTTCAGTGTGAACATCAAGCCCAGTTGTCTTCCCATGACCGTTGGGTGGCCTCTGCAGCCTCCCGCGTCTCAGTCTGTGTGAACTGTCCTTGTTTACGCCGGTCCTTAAAGCAAAGATAACAAGATGAGAAAAACAAACCCAGCAACTTTTTCCTGTGAGCTCATTGGATCTAATTAGCCTCATGTGAGGACTTAGAGATGTATAGAGTCATATTCTCCGATTGAGTTTGAGAACAGTTTGCACACTAAGGGCATTAAGGTGAAGACAGTTGATGAAAACAAGTGTTCTATCCTGCACGGCGGCATCTTGATGGTAAACGCTTTCTTCTGTCCAATCTGTGCATTCAACACTGGTGTAGTTGAACAGCTGAAAAACATCCCAGAGAGGAGACAGACTGGTCATTGATTTCCATCAGGGATTATGAACTGTGTTTCGTTTTGGGGACTTCTGGCCTCCAAGACATTCCACTAAAGACAAACAAATTAAAGGCTAAACATTAGACACTTTCTGTAAATGTAGTTGTTTATTGCACAGAAGCCCTATATTTGTCTTGCTGAGAATTTGAAATGTGCCCTCAAATGTGTCTGTTTGTACATTTGGAGAGACTGTGAAAGTGTTTCTCTTTGGGTTTTGGTTAGTTTGTGGTGACTCATTGACCTAAATTCGCTCCTTCCAGATTCAGACACTGAGAGGAAAAAGACAGTGACATATGCCACAAAAAAAGTTGCAAAAGAAAAGAAAAATAAATCTGTATTTTATCCCTGCCCATAATATAACTGCTTGCATAGAAGTAGAAAAAGAGAACCTGTAAAGTCAACCGTTAGAAAGGAAACTGTAAAGTAGGGCAGCTAAGGTTGAGAAAAAAACGATTGAATCATTTTCTGCTTCTTTTCATCTGTTAGTAATTTCCCTTTTATTCTGTTAGGACACTGTGACGCCAGTTCCCTGAAGTCTGTTCTCTTCATATGGTTTGCTTCTGTGGTTTTTCTGCTCTGGCCTGATGATTCAGGGTACTGCAACTCCATTCATCTCCTTTTTGTTTTTTCTCGACGCTGTAGTGCAGTCTGTGTCACTTAATAGTGTGAACATTTCTGTACAGATGACCCTTTTGTGCTAAAAGCAATAGTTTTTTTTACCCCTTTTGAAATTTGATGAACGGAAAATGGTAATGAATGACTCAGGAGGTATTGCTGGTACAAATGAAACCCCACCCTTGGCAGCTAATATCAAAGATCAAAGCCCTTTAAGTACTCTGTGCAGAGCGTGTATGGCACCAAATGGCAGACAGATGCAGTTAATGAGTAGCTGGTGTGCCTACTGGAGCATTTTGTGGCCGTGCCAGATATTTCCTTCAGAAGTAGGTAGAGGCCAATCCAGAAAAGGGCAGCAGCAGAACAACAGCAGAAAAGTGAAGTGGATTCAATCAATTTATGAAGTTCAGTTTATCACAGGTTTTAAACTCAATAAGACTGCTCACTATGGTGGCCTAACTTAATCTAACGGTGCGACCACATGCCCTCCACACTTTACTGACCTCTCCAGTAGAGCCAGTCTATAGGTGTCTACACCCTGTTATGATGAACATTCAACAACTTCACCACAGATCTTTCATTCGGCTCACAGTAGTTCTTGATAACCTCTCATAAAGTCCAGTTTCCTCCCTCCTGTTCCCCTGAAATGTTTTCATGGTTTTCAGAGTTTCCGTCACCACCAGCCGGCGTGCAGCGATTAGCCGCCCCTCAAACGCGTATTTTCTGTGTATGTTTCTGTTCTTGGTCCAGGGTGTGCACGAGTCTAAAGGTGTAACAGATGATTACCTCCGTCTGGAGTCTCTCATCCAGAAAGTGGTCTGTCCCTACCTCGGGACTCACGGTTTGTACTCCAGAGACGGATCCTCCAGCCTGCACTGCTCCTCCTGCCTTTTAGGTAGACATGCACAAAACATCTCATGAAGACGTTGCATGTTCTTAGTCATGTTTTGCCTCGTACTTCATGTCTTCTGTGATGTTTTTTTGCATGTTTTCATTGGAAGAAAAGCGGCTGCAGCGCTCCTCCTCTAAACCAGGCAACTCTCCCAATGTCAAGAACCCGGTGGTCCGTTCCAAGAGCTACAACGTGCCCATGCTGACCCCGGTGGTGGAGTACGACGCCGACTCCTCCACCGGAGGCGGCTCTCACATCCGCCGCCACTCCGTGTGTGAGATGCCGTCATGCGTGGAAGAGAGCAGCCCCATGGCCAAATCCGTGTCCCGGCCCAGCAACGCCAGCCACTCCCCGTCTTCCACCACGTCGGCCGCCCTGTCAGGTAGAGTTCTGAGCCAGACAGCTGAGCAGCTGCAGGGGGATGAATGCCCCGGAGCCTCCCCCCGTCGGCGGGAATACGCCCATGAGCTCAAACGCCAAAGCTGTTGTTGTCTGTGTGCAGGAAGTGGCATCTCCAGCCCGGACCCCGGGCCCAGCGAGGCTGACAGTCCTGCAGCACCCCCCCACCCCCTCCAGTCCCGCCACCACTCCCTGTGCATCCTCCCCGGGTCCTTCCCGGGCCAGGAGGCTCACTGCGCCTGCTCCCCGGAGTCCGGCTCCCCGTCCTCCGCTAAGGCGCTGGCCCAGGACCTGAGCTCCGGGCCCAGCCCGGCGTCCAGCCCAGAGGTCACAGCAGACAGCGTCCCCGAGTCTCTGGACTCGGAGCAGGAGCCCGACGGCATCTTTCTCACCTTCACACATCACTGCTCCGGAGACTCGACCCACAGCAGAGACAGCAGCGGGCAGAGCCAGGCCTGACACCAGCGTCCACTCACCGTCCGGATTTAAGGTGGACACACTGCCCAGCCGCCACCCACATCCCTCACATCCCACACCTCACTCACCCCCTCCTAAGAGACAATCGATCATCAGGGACACTTTCAAACTGGATTTTGAAAACTGCTTTTTTTCTATATATTCATTGTCTCCTAAAGAAAAAGCTCTTACTATAACTGACCTTTTTTCTCAAATGGGATTTTACCTTCTTATCTGTCTTTAATATTTTATCATTTTGTGTCAAACTTCAACTCAAACTTCAATCAATTTGTATATGTGAGATTATTGATGATTAAAATATTGAATCAAATTTTGTGTTTGCTCTACATATCACATAAATCTGGTTTTAGTATCTTCATGATGTTTAAGCTCTTTCAAGATTCAGGGCAGTTACTAAGTCCCCAGTTAAACTCAGTAACTTTAGAGGAATGGCATTTTGACTGATGATAAAGGTTAGAAATGACTACCATTCAACTACAACACAGCTGGTGTTATGGTTGATATCTGGTTTGAAACTGGAAATGCTTTATTAGTTAATAGATTAACATTATACGCATAATGATAACAAAACATAAAATTAATTTGTCAGTAGTTTGAGCTTCTCTGAAAAAGGCTAATACACTCAGATGTTTTGCACATGTTCCAAAGGGAAAGGCTTTTCGCATCTTTAAAAATACTTTAGAGTCTCTGTGAGAACTTGAAGAAACATTTCACGTCTCAATGGGACGTTAATGTCTGGTGATATTCCTGGAGATCTGGCAAAAAGGCCTGGTGTGAACTCTGTGGGCAGACGTTTTAAGAGAAGCCTTTTATGTAACCTGTATTCATCTCAGCTCTTCTGAAAATGTATTTTGACCCTTTTGGTAAGGTGTCACATATAAAGACTGCAAACAGCACCACGTAGCATCTAAGGTAAGCTTTCTTTGTTTATATAAATCAAGGAAAATACCACCTCTGTGTATGTATGAATGCAGCTTTGCATTATTCTAATGGCTCAAGTTAATTCTACCAACAGCTGGAACGGCATGGTTTGCTCTTTGGAATAGTTTTTAGATAACGTGCTCCAACAGACCTGTGGTAAGAATATAAAACTCTGTTTGACCTGGTGTACAACGTAACAGTGTTTAGGGGAGAAAACATGGCAGACACTGCCACCCAGTGTCATTCCTTTTAGTGTCCAAAGCACATCTGACATTTTCAAAGCACTGTCAGAGTTTGCTGACAGGATGGGAAGGGCAGAGAAAATACAGAAGAGCCCTTTAACCGGGCAGAGCAGCAGGAGGAGGAGCACAATTGGATACACCTGTGAGGGGGGGGGTGCAACAAACAGAAGCAGAGAGCACAAACAAAGCAGGGAGATTAGTTGGGTTTTTAGTATTTTATACACATTTTAGCAATAATGAAACACTAATCTTAAAAAAGAAAGCAGTGAAGGGGCTGAACTAAGATGTGGGACTGTTTTTAAAAACCTGCTGGCCAACCTGAGCTGTGATCACTGCAGCTGGTAGGTGTTCATGTTTGATTTTCTCTATTAGTCCTGTTTCAATTCAGATTTTAAACTATCAAAGTTTCTTGTGGCAAAAAGTGGTAAGTTATTGTGTCTTTGTTTTGTGGTTGGTGTTGAGGGTTTGCTTATTACTTAAATGATTTTTCCTTTATCAGCTTCTGACTCTAAGAACTCTGACAACTAAGACTGAATTCCATTTAATACCAGACTCCTGTTTCAAAATCCAAAGGAAAACGGAGATCATGAGCCCCACAATTAAATTAAGTCACCCAATGTGAGAAGAACCTTGACTATGTCTGAGTCTACAAAATGACTGCATACATAAGAAGTGGTGCAAACTTCTGAGGGTTTACAGTTAGACATGAGAGACATTGAAAACTAGAAAAGTCAAAGAGCTGGTTTATGGAGCATTAGAAAAAAGGAGGCCTGGTTGAGTCGTCTTTTCTTTTAGTGTTCTGCTTCCAGCCCGTTATTCTTTGCACTGATGTGGACGTTAGATTAGATTGTACCACCTTCATGTACCTGAATATTCCTGCTATGGTCTTTTTTCATGTGAAGTGATTTATCCACGACTAGAACAAAGCCTGCTTATCTCAGTTTTAAGCTTTAAATTGGAAATATGTTTTTTATGGTACTACCAATATAATATTTGGTCTTGCAACATTATTTTGTTTTATTTTTCAGCAGAAAAAGCGTGGAATGAGCTGCTGCATGACCATGAGAACTTTCCCTTGAATGGTAAGGAAAACATGTTACATATTACTTAGGATACATTCACCTAGACATTCATAACCCCAGTTCCATAAAAGATTCCAGTGCTTTAAGACACTGTGAACAGGATGTGGTGATTTACAAGTCTCATTAAATATTTTAATCACAATAACGGACAGAAAACAAATCAAATGTTGACAGAGGAATTTTTAAAAAAATCAGATTTGAATATTAATAATTTTGGTGAAGCAAAGGGATTCACAAAAGTGATTTTACTGGAGTTTAAAGTGAAATGTCGATACAAAGCCACATAACGGGCTGAAGATTCGCTCTTAATTACAGCTGACATATGACACAGCAAACAGTTGAATCTCAAAGTATATTTAATGAGATATTCACTTCTCATGATCGAGTGTAAACCACAACAGGCAGCTTAGCTTTACACAGATTAGGCAGAATATGAGCTCAATGTTGTGCTGTCTGTTTTTTACATTCAAAACATCTGAAGCTTTCGGTTGAACCCAGCTCAACGTCTCCAACACTACAGCTGCTCTCTTCCCTATTGGCAACGTGGCAGACGGTGTGAATAAATATGTGTCTCTCGGTTCTGAATTGGCCACAGCACATTCTCTTTAACAGCACCAGTTTCTGCAGAGGAAAAAAAAGATAGAAACTCACTCTGTGTGAACTACAAACTGCGCCATGCTTTCTGCGTCCTCACAGAAGGACCAGATCAGACCGGTTTAGCTTCAGTCTGAACAGCATTTTGGTTCCATGTCAGCCTTCTGCTGACAAGCTGTTGGTAAAATGTTGTACAAAATGCTGTTTGGGTCTGTAAAAGTGTATTTCCTTGTTCTTCAGTGGTAAAAGGTGTTGGAGGCCGTGCTGACACCAAAACTCCATGTGAAGAGCACAAACTACAAATGGATGTTATCTTCTGGTTTATGCAGATTTTTCAAGATGGTACCACAGTTAATGTCTTGTTTTGTAATCTAATTGTAAATCTAAAATTTAATGACTTTTTAAGTTCTCTGGTGTACATCTCAAAGTCTAATCTTTACTAAGAACAAATTCTAATTCACACAATTTAATTTTCTCTGTTTTTTTTTGTAGCTCAAACAAATCCAACCCTCAGTAATCTGCTTCTACGGATGACATCACTCGAAGGCCAAGTGATAAAGTGGTGTGCGGTGAGTCCAGCTGCACACTTTTCCATCCAGGATGCATTACACACTCTACAGTCTGTCAACCAAGGATAAACAAATGTGTACACTTCTTTTTCAGACACAAATCCAAACTCGGCCCTCAGTTGAAGACGTCTCCCTCCTGTGCCGCCAGCAGACGAGACTCGCCGTGATGCAGAGTGAAGAAAGAGTCTGGCTTCAGTCCTCTTTTTTCCAGAGCCTCTCTGAGAAGAACCGGCGGCTCCAGGTAGTACTGCACGAAAGAGGGGACAGAGTGAGGACCCGAGTGCCTTTAACAAGCATGAGTTCTGTTGATCACCTCCAGGCCTCGGGAGCTGCTGTCCTGCAGGTTTTAGAGGTTTCTCTGCTTCTACACGCCTGGTTCACATCCACACATCAGCTGCCCTGCTCAGAGCTGAAGCACCTCTAACAGAGATCAGGTTTGTCTGAATCAGGTGTTTAGAAATAAGGACAAACCTCTTAAACCTGCAGGACAGCAGCCCTCAGTTGCCCACCTCTGGTTTAAAGGACATTACATCAAATTGCTGATGCAGCATCTCTCACCTCGTAGGCGAGGGCAAAGGTCCCCCAGTGTATGGCTACAGACTGCCTGGCCTGGAGGTCCTGGTGGATTTGAACAGCCTCCTCTGGATCTACATGCTGACCTTGCATCACGTCCCTGAGAGGATTTTTGGGAGGTGGGGGTTACTTGTCATGCTTAGCAGCAGCTGACCTGCAGTCAGAAAGCTCCCAGAGGCTGTCAATCAGGTTTTAACCAATACAACCACACAGTTTGGACTCTCATCACCATTGACTGGACACTGTAACTGCAGGTTTGGGATTTTAACTTTAACGTAAAGCCAAGGTTCCATAGAGTTAAGATATCAAAAGTGTTTACTTTTTAAGCTATTGTAAAATGCCCTTTATTCAACCAGGAAAAGTGTTGGCTTTAATTGTTAAAGCTTTCAAATGATCTGACAAAAACTAACTTTACTTTAAAGTCAAAACCACAAACTATCAAATATGGTAATGTGTGATGAGAACCCTGAAGGTGAGCGATCCTTTTCTGAGCAGCTTTGGCTCACCTGGTGGATGGTTCTGGACTAAAGTACCTGGGTCTGTATGCTCCAATAGGGATGGCTGCGAGGTCAAACGGCCCAAAGCGTCGTCCTATCTCCTGGAAGGAGGAACAGTAGCCGGTGTCGCCAGCAAAGAAGAACCGGTGGCCCGGACCCAGAACAGACCAGCTGCTCCACAAGGTCTGAGACCAGAACAAAAAGCAGTCAGCGTATGGAAACTGTCTGCTCTAGTGGTTTGTGGCAACATCCTAAATACCCTGTTGTCGTCCCAGGCCGTGCGCTTGCTCCAGTGCTGCGAGGGCGTGCACACAAACGTGACATCGTCGTGACCGGGGACGCAGTTCTCCTCCCACCAGTCCAGCTCCATCACGTTCTCACAGCCCGCCTTGGCCAGCCAGTCCATCAGGCCCAGGGGCACGAACCTGGAAACACCGGTCAGAGCTGCGTGTGGCGGCTGCCCGCGGAGATCCACGGCGCCACACCTACCAGCGTAGCTCCCCTCCGAAGCGTGCGTTGAGGCTGGCCACAGATCCAGCGTCCAGATGATCGTAATGAGAGTGACTGATGACCACCGCATCGATCCGGGGCAGCTGGAGGGGAAAAGAGGAACATGGGCATGAAGGAAGGCGCTGGATTAAACAGTGACACGAGTCTCAAAATAAAAAAAAAACGTTAAAAGACCTGTTCCACGGTGCAGGGGGGCCCTCGGTACCTTTTGGGCCCCATGAACTGGAACGGTGACGCTCGCTGGCTGAAGATTGGGTCTGTGAGAATATTTAAGCCATCCATTTCAACCAAAACTGTAGCGTGACCGAGCCAGGTGACCCTCATCCCCTGGAGGGCACCAGAGAGGTGTGGACTGTGGACAAAGTAGGGCTCCATCACCGGGAGCTCGCTGTCCAGGGCCTGTGGACACCAACAACAGGTTTGAAAAGTGAAAAAGTGGAGGACAGTCAGAGCAAACTTGATCACTGATCAACCGTGTTTGTTCACCTCAACGCCAGACACTCAGCTCAGTCTTTCTAACTGACCAATAAAAAATAAGATATTCATCACTCCACCCGTGGCTTTACTGATGTTTTGGATTACGGTCTGAAAACAGCCTTAGATCTGTTCAGCCCTGAACTGAGCTGTTTGGAGAAGGGGCTATAAATACAGGGAGAAATGAGCTTGTGATCCTCATTCCAGTCCTTACCTCTGACAGTCAGATGACTGCAGCTACAGGGTAACTGTTAAAACCTAAATCATCCACACAGTTTATCTAATGAAGCGCCACTCAGCCTCCTGTTTGTTGTTCTGACTGAAATGAAAGAAGATTTGACCCTCAGAGCGTCTTACCTCTTCACTTGTTGGCACATTACTGTGATTTTTATCCAACAGCAGAAACCTCAGCAGCATGGAGTAAGAGGGAAACCGCCATGTGGGCCAGGGGTTTGTCCAGCGGCCCTGTTTGTCTCGGCAGGACTTTGTGACATCCTCCTGCAATTAGAAGGAATTACTTTTCACCACTGGTTGAGAGCACTATCAAGGCATTGCAGTTGGTGATAAAAGGAATTTTTGGGGACCTACAAGAAAAAAAGTGCAAGACAGATGTGAAGATGAATGAAACTGAAATGAATAAAGGACGTCCAGATCTTGTTGACATTTGTAATTAAAATGAGCTTGTATTGATCCAGGACAGATTGTGAGCTTATTAAATCTTTTAGAAACTATCTGTGGACCTGCAGATGGTCTGTTTGTCGCTCTGCTGACAGCGGACTGTGGAGTGTGCTGGTTCAGAGTCCAGAAAAGCTGCCACAGCAGCCTGTGTGGGCGCTCAGGAGATTCTGTGATCGGGCCAGAATGCAGGCTCAGCGTGGCATTCAGACAACAGTCTCAGAAAGATCTTTAACATGTTTGTGGAGGATGGAAGATTTAAAACATATACTGGATATTTAAAGGAACGCAATAAAAAAAGTAGCAAAGACGTGATGAATCAGGTTTAGGGATGCGTTTTAAAGGGAGAACATGGATACTTAGAACTGTCCCGCACAATCAAATGTGCCAGACTACGTGGAAACAATCCTATCTCAAAATACTTCAGGTAAACCAGAAGTTATAGCTCCACAGCAGGCTGAGGTGAGTCTTTACCTCCAGTCTGTAGTCCAGACGGAAACTCTTTCGAGAGGAGCTTCTCTTCCTCTGGCTTTGGGAATCTGCCTCTCCACCCTCTGCACCTGGAGGCATGCCGTCATCCTGGAGAACAGGTGCAAACACAGCAGAGGAAAAAAGAGTTGAGGGACATGTGTCTTAAAGTTATTGTATGTACTCGGGTTCAGATTCTGATGGGGACCGTGTCATGGCAGCTGGAAACAAACTCAGTGGAACAATGTGAGGGATGTGTGGACCGAATATGGAAGTCTGAACTGAGCCAGTGAATTGGACAGGGTTTTTTGTGTTCCGTATCATATAGGAGATGAAAAGTCTCTGGGATTTTTGGGGACCTGGATACCATGTCAATCTCTACCTACACAAACCTGGGTGTTCACATGGACGACAGTTGAGTGCATTACCTTCACCAGGCCTGTTCTCTCATCAGGTGCCGCTCGGTCTGCCGGTTGCTTCTCCATGGATTCACCACCGCTATCACACCTAGCATGAACACACACACACACACACGTATCTGTAAACTGATTTCCGCTCAGCGCTGCTAAAGCCGTCACACGCCTCAGTAACATGGCAGACAGAAGCAGCGCTGCACAGGAAGACAACTGTGTCACATTCATACAAACAGTTCCTCCACTGCTTGTCTTCTGCTAACCACTGACAGTTAAACTGTACTGATTTGCATTTGAGAGCGTGAGATCAATATCTTTGCATCCAAATCAAAGTTGACATTTTAGTGCATCGCTGAACTCAACGGCAGAACAATCCAACTACTCCTCACCAGCCAATACGCGACTGCTCTTTAACACAACTTTGATCTACTATCTCGATGGCAGAGGAAGATTAAGCCATGAGTTGCCTAATGGGTCTAACAGAGTTACTCTGGTGTTAAACAGTTTCCAAAGCCGTTGTAGTGTGCAGATGCACAAGTGGCACAAACACAAAGATGTTGCTTCATGTTCTGCAAAAAAAAGAGAACTTTAAAGGACAAAAGACATTTTACCCAGGGCAATTTCAACAAATGAATTGTGGTGACTTTATAACCACAAGCGGAATCACTCTCCCCTGCCAGTAGAATAACTACATATGAGGTCAGTTCAAGGATCAGACAATCCAACTGACAAGAAAGTGTCTCTATCAGTGTCCTTTGAGGGAATGTGAGATGATTCACCATGTCAGTGCTCTGCACCAAGGCTAAATGCTGGCTGGCCTCCTTACATTTGCAGGGAAGTGCTGAAATAAGACACACAAAAGTCAAAAGCAGCAGCATAGATCAACCCAGCTGTGACGGTCTGAGCCAGTGTCCCATAATCCTGTGCATTTTAAACAATGCATGTTAAGGAGAACTGCGCACTTGTAAAACCCACAAACATTTAACAAAGATGAACACACTGACAAAAGCTCACTCATGCAAACCTAATCACAGCCTTCCCTTATCCTGTTATTACACTGAAGCACACACCCTGACAAACTATCCAGTCATGATTATTTCCTCCACCCTTACAGTTCACAAGAAAACAACTCTAAGGATGGTCATCTTTGCAATCTCCCATCGATTTTTAAAGAGATTTAAGCAATTCCTGCAAAAGAGCAGCGCGTCAGATGGACCAACAGTAATGGAGTAAACAACAAAAGCCTCACAAAGAGCCTGCCCTCTTTAGGGACTCCATACATTAAAGTTATAGCATGCTGATGATGCACTCAGCTTAATGAATGGACTCAACACACAGACACTGGGGTAACAATGGAGCTCTGTAGCTGGCAAAGATGTGTAAACCAAACAGCATGGTCAATGTGGTCACATACACAACAAACAAACAGGAAGCAGACTCTGCAGTATCTGAGGTCTGGTGGAAAATCTTCTCACTGAATCCACCCAGAGATGCGAGTTCTTCTGAGGTTTGAAGACAAAAACAAGCCCATCTGCCCACAACAGAGCTGTATTCATGCGAGAACAAACAGCCACACAAATCATATCACTGCTCTCATCAACTGAGTGTCCAGAACGGGCAAAGAGAGACATCCAGACAACTAAAGTACTGCCGGAATAGCTGAAACAACTTATATGATTACCATTCCAAACATTTTACCATCAGACACAAACGTTCATGTGTTACTGGGTAAAGCGGTGCTGGTAACAGGAACCCCGGATTAAACTGCCACCTCCCCCTCAGACCTCGTAACCATTATTTCTGCTCAGTAACCTACCTGACAACTTGGATCTGAGCGGAACAGCAGCTGTTTTCTTAGCGGGGAGACATGTTTGTCGCATTAGCTCTGCGCCGTTTGACCGTCAGCTCGGTTCGTCCGCCAGCAGCCCCGCGGAGCATTCCCGAAAAAACCCGGGAGGACAGGCCCCAGAAACGGCCAAGGTGACGGCGCTAAACGCTGCTGGCGGGGTATTATGTGAATGGTAACGCGGAGGGAGGAATGTGAGGTCCACGGCTCGGTACCAGCTCAGTTTCTCTGACGTCGACGTTAAAGCTTTGATCACGTGACCACCCCGAAAAACTCTCGTTAAGGCAGAAGCCACCAAACAGACCAGTATGGATAAAAAATAGGTTTCACCTGAATGTACTACACTACCATCCCTTCGTGGAGAAAATTGAAATATTTAAATAAATAAAAAAGGTCAAGAAAAAAATAACTCCCCGCGATATTAAGTTATTTAAGTGTCTAGTCCAGTCTTAAAATTCAGTAAAATATTGGGATTTTTTTTTTATTAGAAAGTCAAGTAAAATGTTGATTTTAATTCTCAGACCAGAAAAAAATATTTTCATGAAAGACACAATGTTAATGTGTCGTTTATAAAATGCTTACTTCAGCGTCTTTTCATCCCGTTTCAAAGTACGTTAAGTAAAGTTTCTAAACACGTTGAGGGCATGCCACTTTTTTAATGCAACTTACATCACACATCTGTTTTCATAGTCAATAAAGCAGAACTCACCTCGAGTTTCTCCACCGCACGAAGGACACCTGGAGGTAATTTACTCCGAATAGACTCAACCGCGTGCTGCCCCGATTAAACTTACACTTGTAAACAAATAGCAGCCGGACGGGCTTGAACAACCCAGTTTCCATGTCAGGTCTCTGTATTTTAACATTATTTCTTTGAGACTTCAAACAGACGGACAAATTACACAAAGTTTGCACGAGTCCTACAGTTACAAAGTCTGGTCAGCAAACGCTACTCGGGCTTCCTGTGAGAGGTTCACAGACCCTCGGAAATCTGGGTACTTCGTGCTTTCTGTTTTACTTAAAAATGGTAAGTTTGGTGTTTGGTTTGGTGAACTTTAAAGAAAAAACTATGAAGAGCCAGATATAATGGGAAGTATTTTAAGTTCAACAGAACTAATTATGTTTAGTCTTGCAGTTTCTATTTAATTTGTATGACATAAAGCCTACAAATGCTCAATAAACCTTACACAAATTGTTTACCAGTTAATAACACAAAACAATCAAGTCATCAAAAATGTACCAAACGTTTCTTTTATGAATGTCATCCAGCCTGAATAAGTAAAAAACAAGAAACTGACAGTGTTGTTGGTATGTTTACTTTTTACAAAAATAAAAAAAGAAGTTTACAATGTAAACTCAGTCATTCAAAATGTTTCATTGTGGAGTTTTACCAAAAATGAATAATATTAATTCGGTAGAGAAGTGACATGTCCAGAAAAGAGAAAACAGAAGATACATGAATGAAAAACAACATATTGTGTATTTACTGTAGATCCAAACACCAAATCAACATTTCTCAGTGCTCCTTATGTTCTCCATCGTCCTCCAGTTTCCTGATCTCTGCCTTTAGGTGGTTGATGTTTTCTCGGCTGGCTTTCAGTTTGTCTTTCAACTCGGTGATCTCCTGACTCGTTCTCTTCTTTGCACCATCCATTTTCTCCTTTGTCTTCTGCTCAAGCTCACTGACTGCAAACACAGAATACACTTTGGAGTATGAAGAATCCAAAAAATCTTTTAGAATTGCAAAGAGTAGAAGTGACTCTGTAAGTGTTGTTAAATACATAAAAGCAGCACACGTGACATCCAGTTTAAAAGTGTAGCTACATACATTCCGTCTCATGCTTGTATGCTCCCAGAGTGAGCTGTCTTGATGTGGTGAGAAGCTGCTGCATCATGGCCGTGGGATCCTGAAAGATCTAAAAAAGACCGGCATACAAAAAAAGTTATTATTCTTATGAACCTAAAGAAACTAAACAGGTTCTATTATCCAAGAAAAACAAACATGTTGGCTTCATTTTAAGGTCTACCATTTCATCGTAGAATTCAGAGACAACCGTCTTCTTTGGCATGGCACTGGAATCTGACTGGAACAGCTTCAACAGATGGTACAGAGTCACCTTAGAAACAAACACAAAGCACAAATCAGTACAAACACACACTAAAAACACAGCTTAGTTCTGGTTCTGTGAAAACTGTCAGGCAAAGAACCTTCTTATGTCTTTTGTCATGTTTGTCTGAAATGTTTACGAGAAGGATCTCGACAAAGAACTTTATTTTTTGAAAGAAGCTGAGGAAATTCTGAAACTTCTTACAGGTCTCTCATTGTGATCAATGAAGAAGATCTTAATGACGATCTCAAACTCGCCCCATCCTGTCTCTGTAATTTCATACGGAGGCTTAGTGACCACTGCAAAAGAGGAAAAATGTGGATAAACTGATGAGTGTGTCAGTTTAGTAAGTCAAACAGTTTTAAAACAGCATGGAATATAAATACAGCAACTTCCTGAAGGTCCCTTAACTCACCTCTCAGGGGGTTGCCATAGCTCTCATGAAGCTTGAACTGGATCTTCTTCACATAGGCAGACATATCCTGGCAGAACAAGTTAACGTGTTAAAATAAGGTCTGATTGAATATATTTTGCAACACTCTGTTGTCACTTGTCGAATCAGCTGTGTTCAAGAAAGAACACGGACAAAATGTGGAGGTTGAGAAGGCGGAAACACAGACGCCAAAGCGTCAAAATCACAGAATAACACCTTTACAAAACCAGATATCAAAACAAATAGGCAAAACAGTGAGTTTTACTTCTGGGGAATTGTTTTTCCGAAAAGATAAAAACAAATATGCATAACTAACACCTAAACAAAAGAAAATGTTGCATCAATGTTTAATAAGACCAAAAACAACATTTCGTGATGGGATGTGGAAAAACAGGAAAGGCTGTATATTTCTCGCCTCAGTTTTTTTAAAAAGAGGAAAAACAGCAATACAATTAAGTAGAAATACGACAATGCTGGATGAGGCTGCAAAGGGCTGCCCTTCAGCTGAATAAACCTCCCCTTCATTCCGAGTGTATTACCTCATTTCTGTAAGGCTTCACATACACAGACCACTGGTGAGTGTGTCCATCCTCCTCTCTCTTCTTCCCAAAGTAACGGGCGACATTTCCAAACACAATAGGCTTCACAATAGTTACTCCCTAAAGTAAAACATGCCGGGTTATAAATTCACCCATAGTCCGTAAAAATCAAAATAAATACCAATACAAACAGCCAAAGATGAACATGTTAAGCCAAAAATAAACTTATATATGTGTTTGTATCTATATTATACCAAAGTATTTAAATTAAATACCATGGTTCGACGTTACGTTACCTTGACGCGCCCCCCGGAATCTGGACCAAATTCAGTCATATTTACAAACAAATACAAAATAAACTTGAAGTGAAAACAACTGTGCCCTATTGCACTGGATTAACACTACGGTGTTTGTTAACCTCTGTTAAATCCGCCATTTCGGCATTAAATATATTTCACAAGGTTGTGACAGAATTCCGCCATCCACACAAACACCGGAAGTAACGTGTCCAGCGTGCATATCTGTCCGGCCTAAAAACGATACAAGTCTATCTGGGTTCCACCAATTTGACTGTCTTAACGTTCCAGGTTTATTCAGTTAAACTTTAGGAAATATCATGAACTATGGATATATATGTGTGTATAAAGTAATTTACTTAAAAAAACCAACGACACTTCCCTTTAAGACGTTGCCATTTTATCATAGTTGACCTGGATTTATTCTGTAAATTTCCTTTTAAACTTAAGAGGCAATCAGAAAAATTTCCAATAGGAATGTATTAAGAAACCTCCACCTTATCAACCAAGAATCTTATAACTGACATATATATTAAAACTTCTCATGCTATCCATGTGGAATCACTCCTCATATCTTTCTCCTTTTTAAAAGGAAAATGACCAGTAATGAGTTTATATAGTTATCATACAAGTTTTATTGTTTTAATAAATGTGAGCACATCACTCCTGTACATATGTTTTGGTCAATAATATAAACAAATGATATAGTAGTCACTGTTTAGAACACAGACTGATGGACATATTTATCAAGTACTGCCAATCCTTTACACATCTTAAATTAAGAGACTCTAGTTTCCTTCACGTTAGCTGCTTTATTACTTTTATACCACTTGACTACACATTTTAAAATTGTTTAAAGTCAACCAGTAACAATAGTTTGCTGGCACATGTAGCATACATGTTTTTATTTTAACCTACAAGCCAATCAGTAGTTTCCTGATTAAACAAAGTTTGGATTTCCAATGGGATTTCACATGATGTAACCCCATTCTTAACATGGCCTGCTAAACCCAGAACAAAAATGTTCCCATCTGGTAGACATCTAAACAAAGTGGCCTTCCAGGTTGTTTATGAGAAAAGTATTTAAAGATAATATGGTAACTTAAATTTTGTGGTTAGTTCAGAATATTTTTTCAAATTTGATCTTTAACAGGAAAACCTTGAAGAAAATCTTGAATACTTAGTAGTCTATATGCAAATAAAACAAAAGAAAAGCAATCTTAATTAAGAGTTTTTATTTAAAACTGACATGGTGTACTTTGCATGCTCTGAGGGAATGTGAAATCAAGAGCTGTCAATTTTCTAAGATATAGATCTCAAGCCCTTTTCTTCTAAAACTTCAAATTACACTTCTAATGGGGAGAAAAAATGTACAAATCTTAAAAACTTTTCTTATAAATTACATGTCCCTGAGGGATACTCCTGCTGGTCATGTGACTAAGCTGTGAGGTCCAGTTAGCTTAAAAAAATTACACCTTAAAGATAGTTTCACAATCTCCTGGTGTTTTAAGTGATATAAACAAATGTTTAAATACTACTAAAAAGTTTAAGTTGACCATGTAATTCAAAGACTACAGATAAATACCTCCCACACTGCGGCTGTGGTGTAAAGTGTCTTGCTTGATGCAGAGGAACTGTCCAGCCTTGTGGGTGGGTTTGCTGAACTCACTTACCTTTTCAGCACTGTAGGAAGAATCAGGCTTAAACAACCGATAAAAGCTAAAATCCTGCAAACATGCTTTTTCACTGTAGCTGTTCACATTTCAGTCATGCACAAAGAAAACAGGTCTATAAAGCATCCGCTGCACACACTCACTCTTCTGTTGGATTTTGATGTCCCGTAAAGGGAAAACACAAAATAAAAATCAATGCTAGATCTTCAAACCTTAAACATATTGAAAACATTAACATTTAAAGAGATAACAAGTTCCTCACTGCTTTACAGTGTTCTTATTTGGGAGGATAGATCTGATAAATTGGCAATGTCAAAATGTTTGACTTAAATCTTTCACATTCACCATTTACATTTTCAAGTGCAATACGGCAGCTTATGGCCTTCAATCTGAACCTACAAGATGAAGGAACAAATATTACCAGAGCACAAGCAATCAGTCCAGTGAGTTAACACAAGAGCAGAGGCACAGAGGTCAGAGGTTGATTCCTGGATTTATCATCCATTCACATTTTTTTTAAAATATGTAAACGTATTTCAATTCAGTATTTAGAATTAAATGGAAACACTTCAGATGAGTGCCTGATGATACAAGCTGTATTGCCAATTGTTGACATTTTTATGTTCACATCGTTTTGGTTTTTATTGCTCAAGTTGAAATATGACAGCATTTCAAAATTTGGTCTCACACAGTAAAAACAAATGTCCAATCTCACCAGTTTAGCAGTTAACAATGGATGCTCACAGATATCTGACAATCTCTCTGTTTGACAATCAGTGCGGGACACGGTTCGTTTTCCTGAGGAGGGATTTTGGGGAAAGTAGATCCAGAACTGCCTCACACTCCCACTGAAAATCAGACTAACACTGATTGAAAGGACATCAATTTAAAACCTGACAGTTTTCTTTTTTACAACATACCGCAATTACACGCATGTAAAAAATATGCCCCAGTGTTTTAGCTTATTCTGCGTAGTTACACTTGAATCAAACGTCAGAAGCCACTTTGTGAACAGCAGCATGTGAGTTATTCATTCATTTACCGAGCAGAATCCACGAGTCCTCACATTGACCCATCAGAGCACAGTCAAAAATAATACAATCCCCTACTTTGTCTAACTTGGCAAAAGTTTATCAATTCTAAGAAAGAAAGAAGAAAAAAAAAGACAAACAAAAAGCAAACAAGGACTACAGCCACTGGCTCACAGCTAAAACCTAACATGTTAAAAGTAGGCAAATCCTCTGGAAAAACACTCTGCTGTCCAAAATATACATTTAATATAAATGACCTAAACATGTAAACGAATTCACCAAATGCAAAGTGTACCTCAGGTAAACATTTTTTATTACAACACCATCTAATTTTTAATCAAAAAGCAGACATTTACAAACATACTAACCAGGAAACAAATATCTGAGGGGGAAGTGGGGGTAGGAGAGAAGACATCAAACATTTACCCTATAAAAATTGAATGTACACAGTAGAGCTAACCAAAAAAAAAAAAGAAAAAAAGGGTGGGGGGGAAGAAAAAGTAGGATGTGATGCTTGTGTTTTCTATTTGGGAATCACACACAGCCATTTTATTGTGTATTTGCAACAAAAAAAAAAAAGCTTCACACATACTCAGAAATAAAACAAAAATAAAAAAAGCTGTTTGGAAAGTTTCTTTTCTTTCATCTTTAGTTACCATGAGTATAGAAGTTTGGATAACAAAGCCTTACACAAGTCAGGGTCCTCCATCCACTGCTCAGGCAGACAACAGATAGAGAGAAGGATGGGTGGAGAAGGAGAGGAGAAATGGAGGAGGTGGAGGAGGAGGCGTGGCTGTAGTCCTGTCTGGTCATGCAGGGTGAGCAGGGAGTGGTGCACTGTAAGCGTTCCTCCTTTTCCATCCTTCCATCCTTGATCCTTGTTAGCTGAAACGTGTCAAAATGAAGGGTGGAGTTTGGTTTCGAGCCAGCCCAAGAGTGAACACTCCCCCCCCCCCCCCCACTCACCATCAAATATCTATGCTAGACAAGCTACAGACCGAGGCTGGGTTCAGTTCACCTTCACTTTGAGCATTGAGGCTCAGCAAGTCTTTGGACCTCGCTCTGAGGCTGAGGGGAGAGCAGCTGATAAAATAAAGAAAGAAATGCCATTTTAGAGGGGAAAAAGCCGTCGTTTGCTCAGCTGATTGTGTATTGTCCCCAGCCTCAGTTCAGTAACAGCAACATGCACATTTCTACAGGAAATGCCCACAAAACTCCTCCAAGACCCATCAGCATGTACACACATTAGAAACATATCAATGTTACCTTGAATATACTTTATAAAGCTGTTTTTCCCCCTCAAATTACTCTCATTTGAACATGGATGTAAACTATGCATGCAAAGCAAATTCTGATACAATTGTTGCTAAGTCACTGAGGAAAATTCTGATGTTCATATATGACATAATTACCTTTTAGGATAGACATGTTTTTTTTTTTTAAATCCAATTTAACCAAAAATGTATTTGAAGACTTGGGACAGTAACTTAGTAATCCTGTGTGTTGATACAATCCAAATAGCAAAACTATGTTTGGTTAAACAATACTGCTGGTCACAGCTTACACAAATATCATGAATTCAAATAGGGAATGATGCGGATTATTAAAGGAACAAAGACATTATATGATGCAGTTAAACCACCATCAGCAAACAGTGCAAAGCATCGTTTTACTTATACTTAACAAATCCATGGTAATTCACAGGTTTTAGAGATTCATATTTTCAGTTTCACAGAATCTTTGAGGTCTATCCCAAATTTCTTTGGCAATTTTACTTAATTTACCAAATGTGAATTCAGATACCCATAGCTTATGGATTTTTTAGGTCATGGTTAGCTGATATTTTTTATAGCATCTTACAAAAAAATAGTAGATACAGGATACAAAGCAGGTCCTGATACTTTAACCATAGTGTAATACCAGACACAAAGGACACAAAGGATGCAACAGCCACAAAGATTGAGTCACATATTGGACCCCGGTCCAGTGAACTGGTCATCAGAATATTTCCAATATATATAGATTTTCTGCTATAAAATAGGTTGAACGGTATCTCTGGTATTCATCTGCCATTTCAGTGAATGGAATGTGACTTTAAGCTCACGTCAAGAGTAAAAAAAAAGAAAAGAAAAAAGGTCAGCATGCAGGATACAGAAAACCAGATCAGCTTCCAAATCCAAGAAATATGAGAGTAAGGGACAGATTAACAGTGTGCAGGCCAGACTCTAAAGGTCACTGTACGACACAATCCCAAAACTCCAGCTTTTTTTCCTTCATTTTTGCAGTGACAAAAATGCTGAAACATAACTTACTAAAATATTCAAGAACATTTTAAAGAATTTCTGGTTATTCTAATGTAATATGACCATTTTAGTTGGTATCCACATAAAACAACTTTAAACCAGTACAGTTATTACATGATTTAAAGGTTGTGGTTTATAGAATGTCTGCATTAGATAAGTATAAAAACTGTTTACAGAAAAAAACACAGCCCTGCTCACATTTGCCAAATTTGACAAGTTTTTTTTTCCATTCGAAAAGATTTAAGGACAATATCAAAATGTGAGACTCAACATTTATCAATGT